AAGGTACAAAGATGATAAATAGGGGAATTAAAAATAATGCTGTAACCAGCTATATTAGTAAGTTGGAAAAGGGCAAAAGGGTGGTCTGAGTGAGCTCACTCCCATTTATCATTGTGGGAGTCCTGTGGGTAATGCTTGAGCCTGAGAAATGGGGAAATCCAGGCAGAAGCCTGCTTTTAGAGGTCGGCATGTAGCTGCTGGAAGACAGAGCTAAATATTTAGAAGTCTATCCCTCGAGGGAACAGGACTGGGCATTGGGTAGGGGACAGTTATTGTCAACCATATGTAGGTACCCCTTTGATAAAAATTCAAAAGTTATTTTCAAAAGACAGAAGAAACTACAAAGACAGTCTTATAGAAAGAGTCGGTGCATGGGTGCTGCCTCACAGTCTTCCTGTAATTGCATTAAAGCTGATTTCGCTGCCTGCTGAGGGCACAGCAGAGCTGGCCAGGAGGAGCTGGGGGCAGGGCACAGGCTCCAATGATGGATGTGTGCCCTGGCCTCGCCGTTCTTTCCTCAGTGATTCTGAAGTTGAATTTTATTTTAAAACAGCAATTCCTATAATAAGATAAGCTAAAAATATAAATATATACATATGGTTAATAGGGAAAGAGAGGATTGTGCAAAACTAGAAAAATTTGATTTCCACCTTAAGACTTTTAAACTCATTTGTGGGCCGTGGTTGTCCTCTAGTGGTAATTGGTGTAACTGCACTCAGTGGGATTGCCCCTCCAGCCTGGGTTCCCCTGTGGTTCTGACCACTCATCCAGCCACATGGAGTGCCGGCTGTGTCCAGGCATGGGACTGGGTGCCAGGAGGCTGGAGAGACGGAGTGGTCCTGGGCTTCGTAGGAGATGCCACAGTTTACAGTGACCTTGTTGGTCCCTGAGAGTACTGGACCCTGTCTCCCGTCAAGTAGGGTACCAGGTCACATGCAGCCACATGGCATGCACTGCAGATGATTCACCTTTTTAAAAAAATACACATATTTCAAATTTTTATGCTACTTTTTTCCATTTTGCAATTTATGTGTAGAAACTCTAGTGTGGAATTGGTTACAGAGTAATTTTTATGATAATATTTCACAATAATAGTGAAAATAGTTTTCAGTTTTGGTGAAAAATAGTGCAGTTACTAATCAGTTGGTATTGTCAACTCTCAGTGTGTAATTACCAGAATAAGTTTCACATTTATACTATTAAAGTAAAAGAATATATATTCATAAGACATTTCAGGTAGATCCCTAAAATAGACAGAAAATAGATTAACAGGAGATAGTTTAAGAATATTTGGTACCTTACTACTTTGATCAACATTTTTATTTAACATAATCATCATCTGTATTGAGTCTTTATATGAATTTAAAAGTCACTTTTTATCCCAAATCTGGCCACGACACAGTAATGGATATCATACTCTTGTACTGTAAAAAACTATAAAACTTGACAAAATACATAAAACAGTTGTTTTCAGGCATTGGATGACAGAGGGCATAAAGCAGAAATTCTTGCAAAAGGGGAGCATCAAAAGTGAGCTCCGGGTGCTGGCCCAGTGGCATAGCGGTTAAGTTCGCGCACTCCGCTTCAGTGGCCCAGGGTTCGCCGGTTCAGATCCTGGGCGCAGAACTACGCACCACTCATCAAGCCGTGCTCTGGTGGTGTACCATATAAAGTAGAGGACGATGGGCACGGATGTTAGCCAAGGGCCGATCTTCCTCAGCAAAATGAGGAGGATTGGCAACAGATGTTAGCTCAGGGCCAATCTTCCTTAAAAAAAAAAAATAAGTGAGCCCCACACTCACTCTTGCTTTCTGCCTGGTGGGGGCCGTCCGAGCTGCAGCCCTGGGAGTGGAGCCCAGACTGAAGAAGTGTGTGGAGGAGGCAGAGAGCAAAGCCTGGGCTGCTGGGGCTGCTGGGGTTCATAGGCTATGATACAAGAGAGGAGGTACTGGACAGAGAATGGGTGCTCTCAGCTGTGTAAAGGTGCTGTGCACAGCACTAGATTCCACAAGGCCTGGCAGGAAGCAGGTTCTGGGTCCTATGCTGAAGAGAGGCGCTGGAGGCCACCCTGTGCTGAGATGTTGGAGTTAACTGGTGAGAATCAGGGAGACCTCACTGAACTTTCCAGGCACTCAGAAAGACATGGGCTACAGGGGCTGCTCTAGACTTGCCCTAAAAAAGCCTAATCCAAATCCCAATAGGATAAGGCTGAGCCACCAGTAAATTAAGTGTCCATCAGAATGAAACCCAACCTTCATTTAAAGGAAGGCAATGTAATCCATACTCTCAACAGTATAACTCAGTGTCCAGCATAAAATCAAAAATTATTAGACACAGGGAAAAACAAGAAATGTGGCCCATAGCAGGAGAAAAAACAGTCAACAGATGCAGACACGACACACACGTTAGAGTTAGCAGACAACGAATTTAAAACAGCTCTTATAAGTACAAGAAAGTATTTGGGCAACTTAGTGTGCAGGTGGGGAATTTCTACAAAGAAATGGAAACTATAATAAAGAACTAAGTGGAGATTCTAGAGCTGAAACATACAGCATCTGACATAGAAGCATCACTGGGAGAGCTCAACGCCTGAACATGGGAGAAGTGGTAAGTGTCCGTGAGTGCTGGTCAGCACACAGTTGAAGGTGAGGCAGAGGAGGAAAGACTGAACGGCAAGATGAGCAGAGCCCCCGCGACTGTGGGACAGGACACGTGGTCTGCACAAGTGTGGGGGAGTCTTGGAAGGACAGAGGTGAGATGGGGAGGCAGAGTACATACATTTGAAAATACAGGAGCTGAAATTTGTTCAAATTGAATTAAAAAATATCAACCCAGAGATCCAAGATTTTCAGTGACCCCCAAGCAGGATAAACACAAAACCACACCTATTTTCACTGGAGTCAAATTGCTGAAGACAAAGGTAACAAGAAAACCTTGGGAAAAAGTTAGAAGGGGAAAAGACAGATTACACACAGGAAAACAAAGATAAGACTGCTGACTTCTCAACAGAAGCACAGCACACCGTTGTAGGCGTTAAAAAAGAAAAACCCATCAACCTAGACTTCTACATCCACCAAAAGCCTTCAAAAAATGAAGGCCAAATCAAGACATTTTAAGATTAACTAAAGCTAAGAGAATCCACTGCCAAAAGAGCTGCAGAAGGAGAAATGCTGCTGGGAATTCTTTAGGCTGATGGAAACTCAGGTCAGGAAGTAACTAGGTAAATGGTAAAGGTGTGGATAAACATAAAAGGTGGTTTTTCCTTCAGTTCTTAAATTCTTTAAAAGACCTTTGCCTGTTAAAAACAAAAATACGTTGCATTGTGTTATTATTAATAAATATAGAAGTAAAATGGATGACGTTAACACTAATGATGGGAATGAGAGAAACAGAAGTGTATTGTGTAGGATTCTTATGTCATCTGTGAAGTGGTGTAAGATTAATTCAAGGTAGACTGTGACTAGTGAAGGATATATGTTGTGATCTCTACAGCAAGTACTAAAAAAGATAAAACAAAAACGTGTAACTAAAAATCCAATAGAGGAGATATAGAATACTAAAAAATATTCAGTTAACCCAAAAGAGGGGAGGAAAGAAACAACATATGGGACAAAAGGAAAGCAAACAGCAAAACAGATTTAACCCCAACCATACCAATCAATCCATTAAAGGTAAATGGACCACACTCCAGTTAAAATGCAGAGTTTACCCCGCTGAATACAGAAAGCAAGACCCACTAGAAGCTGCTTTTAAGAGACATTCTTTAAACATAAAGGCACCTGTTAAAAGCAGAAGAGTGGAAGGGATGCTGTGCAAACTCGAGTCTTAGGACACAGGTGTGGCTGTCGCAGAGCAGCCAAGCAGTGTGACCAGAGACAGAGACATCTCATCGTGATAAAAGGGTTAAACGAGCCGGAAAACATGAGAATCCTGAATGTGTGTGCACTTAATAGCAGAGCTTCCAAATTCAAGAAGCAAAAAATTAGATACATCCACAGTTAGAGCTGGAGATTTCAACATTCCTCCTCAGTAGCTGATAGAACAAAGTAAGCAAACAAACAAAAAAATCAGTAAGTGTGTAGATGATGTGAGTCACGCTGTCCACAGATCTCACCCAGCTGACATCGACAGAACTCTCCCCAACACTGTATTAGAAAGATCAGTCTCCAGGATGCAGCGCCCAGGCAGGGCCAGGCTCCTTCACCTGTGGGGCTGGCACACCCACCTTGGAGAACCCAGCCACCCTCAGCTTCACCTCCAGAGTACGGGCTTGACTGTGCACGGCAGACACCGTGGATCCTGGCAGCCGAGGGACAGCGCCTCCCTCCCCGAGACTCCTGGGTCAGAGTGGTAGGAGTGGCTGTCTGCTCCTGCAGGTGGGTCCCTGGCTTCAGGGCACCCCAGCCTGTGGAGAGGTCTACCCAGGAACTAGTGTATTTCTCCTAGAGTAAATTCGGTGCCCCCTAGCTGAGTTGCAGGGACTTGGTCCCCTCCAGCACTGGACGGGATGATGTCTGACTGAGTGTGATGTCATCTGTGCCTGACCCAGGCGTGGCTGGGTTAATAAACGTTCAGGGACAAGGGATTGCATGTCCTTCTTGATGTTGCTCTGAGTTAAAACTGTGTAGGGCTGAGCCTGGTGCAGAGCGGAGGCCCTGAGACGAGATATACACGGGGCCCAGAGAACAGAGCCCCGTTGCTCCCCGTGGGCTCGGCTGTGGTGGGGGGCGGGCCCACCAGGCTTGTCCTGCTCACCTGTGGCTGCACAAGACATCCTGCAAAGAAGTCATTGAAAACATCAGGTTACGATTCTCTCGTGGTTCTGCGGGTTGACTGGACTCAGCCGGTTAGTCCTGGCTCGGGGACTTGCATGAGGTTACTCTGGAGGTCCCCAGCTCGCTCCCATGGCCCGGCATCCCCAGGCTCACTCGCCTTTCTTCGTGGCCCCTCGCTCCCCGCAGAGAGAGCCTGCATGTGCTAGGGCACTTGTCTGTTTTCAGGGAGGAGGCTCGGCTGGCGGCGGAGATGCTGAGCACCGTGGCCTGCACGCAGGGCAGGAGCGTCCTGGAGAGCCTGAGGGGGAGGAAGCGGCTGCGCCTGCCGGCTACCAGGGCCTTCCTGGAGAGCATGAGGTGCCGTGCTAAGTGGGGTGACTGTGCAGACAGCTGTGCACTGTGAGATAAATGGCAGCTGCAGTGCCTGAGATGAGCACGCTGCTCAAGGGGGACTGGCACGGTGGCCGGCCCCTCCCTCGGTGGCCCTGTGACAAGGGTCATCTCCTGCCCTGGGCAGGGACGCCCGCCTCGCCATTGCTCACAGGGCCCCTTGGGCGACTGGGACGGAGGGTCCTGGGCAGTCCTGTGAGAAGCTGAGCTGGGGCCGCACGGGGCAAGGTGGGGCAGGGAGTAGGGAGTGGGCTGTGGCCCTGAGCAGATCCCAGCAGGGATGCCCCAGGAGCCCCATCCTGCAGAGCCGGGCGCAGGGCCGCAGGAGAAAGGGAGCGAGTGTGTCCTGGGGAGCCCCGTGGCACCCAGCCTCACCCCTCCCCTCCGTAAATCCAGACGCTTTGGGCGCTGCTGCCACACAGTGGGCGTGGCCCCTCTCTAGGTCAGGACTTCCTTTTCAGGTTTGGGGGCATCGCGGGGAGCAGTGCCCTGGTGATGCTGGCCGCCCGGCACTACTGGAACGCCTGGCTCCCGCTGCTGTCCTCTGCGGGCAACAGGAAGAAATGCAGGAGTGCCTTACGGAGGATCATCAGCATCATCAACAAGACGGAAGCGAGAAAGCAGGTGCGTGGGGGGGCCACGGGGGGCAGGCTTCCTGAGGGTCTTCCTCCAGAGACGGCAGGTGAGATTCCTCAGGGAAGACAGACCCCAAAGAACCGCTCAAATGAGGCACACGATGGCCTGCAGAGAGGGGGTGGGGAGGACGAAGGCATCCCCGAAATGCTCCTCCCTGAGCTCCAGCACCAGAGGGGAGAGGAGGAGAATGGGGACGGAACAGCAGATTCAGACAGCTAGGAGAGCCGCAGAAGCCCCTGGGCAGATGTGTGCCCAGGCCAGTGAGGTCTTGACCGGACTGTAAAAAGGGGATGTCACCCGCCCCCTGCCCCCGACGCCCAGTGAGTGTGGTCTTGGTGGAGGGAACTTGCCTGGCTGAGGGCCTCGCTCCCTCCACCTGGCCCTGGAGGCAGGCAGGGCTGGGCCCCATCGAGCTCCAGGGAGTGCACGGAGGTCAGCGAAGGCTGCCCGGCCTGCCTGCTGACCGCGTGCGTCCTCTGTGTGTCCTGCAGTTTCCCAGCCCCAGGACTTGGTCTCCCACAGGGCCTCCAACACCTGTCCTGTCTGCCCAGGAAGGCCAGACCTGGGATAACAAACCTACAGACCTGTGGTCTCCAGCAGGGCCCTTCTGAAGAGAAGGTCTCCAGGTCAAAGGCCATGTGGCAGACAGATGTCCATGGTCAGAGAGCCTAGGACAGAGCCCATGGGTGGAGCTCTTGGGCCCTTGGTCCAGGGCCCAGTGAAGTCCTCAGACACCAGCAGCCAGACGAGCCGTGGGAGGTCGGGCCGGGACAGGATGAGAGGGGGGAGCTGCCCTCTGGGCTGATGCAGAGCTGGCCGTGCCAGGAGGGCCCACAGCCGTGTGGGAAGGTGTGGCTTTCCCGTGGCTGCCCCAGCTGGGAGCCTGCTGCTCAAGAGACAGCAAGAAGGAAATGGGAAAGTCATAGTCTTGTTTAAGAGATTGGTTGATGCTTCCTATTTTCTTACCAAGATATTTATGACCTCTAATAATCTAGGCCAGGGGTGGGCAAACCGCCACTGGGGAGGGGGAGGGCAAGTCCAGCCCTCCTCCTCTTTTTGTAAATAAAGTTTTATTGGAACACAGCCATGCCTGTTCATTTACATACTGTCTGTGGCTTCACTACAACAGCAGAGCCAAGTAATTGTGACAGAGACCACGTGGCCCGAAAAGCCAGAAGTGTTTACTATCTGGCACTTTTACAGAAAAAATTAGCCAAGCCCTAGTCTAGAAATTAATAAAATTTACCAAAAGTTCAGTTCTTTATAATGTGCTTTTTAAAAATTGTGGCAAAATATACATAATATGATATTTATCATTTTAACCATTCATTAACTGTACAATTTAGTGACATTAATTATAATCACAACGTTGTGTGACCGTCACCACTATCTATACCTAAAACTTTTTCATCATCCCCAACAAAACTCTCTACCCATTAAACAATACCTCCTCTCTCCCCAGAACCCCTGGTAACTATTCTGCTTGCTGTCTCTGAATTTGACTCCTCTAGGGGCCTCATATAAGTAGAATCAGAGTACTTGTCCTTCTGTGAGGGGCTTATTTCACTGAGCGTAATGCCCTCAAGGTCCATCCATGTTGTAGCATATTGCAGGATTTCCTTTCTTTTTATGGCTGAATAATATTCCATTGTATGGATGGACCACATTTGGTTTATCTGTTCATCTGTTGATGGAGATGGGTTGTTTTCGCCTTTTGACTATTGTGAATAGTGCTGCTATGAACATGGGTGTACAAATATCTTTGTGTCCCTGCTGTCAGTTCTTTAGGGGATATACTTAGCAGTGGAATTGCTGAGTTATATGGTAGTTCTGTATTTAACCTTTTGAGGAACTGCCAAACCGTTTCCACAGCAGCCGCACATTGTACATTCCCACCAGCAGCGCACAAGTGTTCCAATTTCTACACATCCTTGTCTACACTTGTTATTTGCCATTTTTTTACATTATTGCCATCCTAACAGGTGTGAAGTGGTATCTTGTGGTTTTGATTTGCGTTTTTCTTATGACTAATGATATTTAGCATCTTCTAATGTGCTAATTAGTCATCTGCATGTTTTCTTTGGAGAAATGTCTGTTCAAGTACTTTGCACATTTTTACATTGGTTTGTTTTTTGTTGTTGAATCATAAGAGTTCTCTATCTATTCTGAGTATTAACCCTTTATCAGATATATGATTTGCAGGCGTTTTTCTCCCGTTCGTTTGGTTGCCTTTTCACTCCCTTGACAGTGTCCTTTGTTGCACAAAAGTTCTTAATTTTGATGAAGTTCAACTATTTTTTCTTTTGTTTCTTGTGTTTTTGGTGTCCTATCCATGAAGTCATTGTCAAATCCAATGTCTTGAAGATTTTTTTCCGATGTTTTCTTCTAAGAGTTTTATAGCTTTAGCTCTTATGTTTAGATCTTTTTTTTTTTTTTCCATTTTGAGTTAATTTTAGTATATGGTGTAAGGTAAGGGTACAGTTTCATTCTTCTGCATGTGGATGTCCAGTTTTCCTAGAAGCACTTGTTGAAAGACTGTCCTTTCCCCTTTGGATGGTCTTAGCATCTTTGTCAAAAATCACTTCACCATATATGCAAGAGTTTGTTTCTGGGCTGTCCCGTCTGTTTCACTGGTCTATGTGTCTGTCCGTCTGCCAGCACCACATTGTTTCCATCACTGTAGCTTGGTAGTGAATTTCGAGTCAGGAATTGTGAATCTTCCAACTTTCCTCTTCTGTTTTAGGATTGTTTTGGCTGCTTGGGGCCACTTGCAGTTCCGTATGGTCTGCGGCTTGGCTTTTCCGTTTCTTCAGATAAGGTTGTTGGGATTTTCAGAGGGATTGTGTTGAATCTGTAGATCACTTTGGGTGGTATTGACATCTTGACAATGTTAAGTCTTCCTATTCATGGTCATGGGATGTCTTTCCATTTATTTAAGTCTTCTTTAATTTCTTTCAACAATGTTTTACAGTTTTCAGCATATAAGTTTTTCACCTCTTTGGAAGTATTTAATTCTTTTAAGTGCTACTGTAAATGGAATTGCTTCTTGTTTTAGTCAGCTCAGGCTGCCATAACAAAATACCATAAACTGGGGGGCTTAAACAACAGAAATTTATTTCTCACAGTTCTGGAGGCTCCAAAATCCAGGAGCCAGAATGGCCAGGTTCTGAGAAAGGCGCTCTTCCTGACTTGTAGATAGCTGCCTTCTTGCTCTGTCCTCATGTGGTGGGGGTGGGGAAAGCAAGCTCTCTGGTGTCTCTTTCTCTAAGGGCACTAATCCCATCATGAGGAGCCCACCCTCCTGACCTCCTCTAACCTTAAGTACCTCCAAAGACCCTGTCTCCAAATACCATCACATTGGGGGTTAGGACTTCTACGTATGAATTTGGGAGGGGGGTGGGGCACACATAATTAAGTTCATAGCACCTTCCTCCTTTTCTTTTTGGATTGTTCATTGCTGATATGTAGAAGCACAACTGATTGTTGTATGTTGATATTGTGTCCTGCAACTTTGCTGAATTCATTTATTAGCTCTAGTAGTTTTCTTGTGGATTCTTTGGGATTTTCTATAAATAGGATCGTGTCATCTGTGAATAGAGATAGTTTTACTTCTTCCTTTCCAATTTGGATACCTTTTATTTCTTTTTCTTGTCTATTAGCTCTGGCTAGAACCTCCAGTAAAATGTTGAATAGCAGTGCTAAAAGCAGGCATCCTTGCCTTGTTCCTCATCTCAGAGGGAAAGCTTCAGTCTTGCACCATTGAGTAGGATGTTAGCTATGAGTTTTTCATACGGTCCTTTTATTGTGTTGAGGAATTTTCCCATTATTCCTAGTTTTCTAAGAGATTTTCTGATGAAAGGTTACTGGATTTTGTCAAATGCCTTTTCTCCATCAATTGAGATGATCATGTGGTTTTTCTCCTTTGTTCTATTAATGTGATGTGTTACATTGATTGTTCTTATGTTGAGCCACCCTTGTATTCCTGGGATAAATCCCACTTGGTCATGATGAATAACATTTACTATGCTATTGGATTTGATTTGCAAATATTTTATTGAGAATTTTACATCAATATTCATAAAGGATGTTAACCTGTAATTTTCTTTTCTTGTGATGTCTTTATCTGGGTTTGCTATCAAAGCAATGAGTTAGGAATTGTTCCTTCCTCTTTGATTTTTTGAAGAGTTGAGAAGGATTAGTGTCAACTCTTCTTTAAATGTTTGGTAGAATTCACCTGTGAAGCCATTTGGTCTGGGACTAACCTTTATTCATTGGGTGGTTTCTGATTACTGATTCAATCTCTAATTGTTAGAAATTTGTTGGGATTTTCTATTTCTTCTTGTATCAGCTTGGGTAATTGGTGTGTTTCAAGGGCTTTTGCCATTTCTTCTAGGTTATCAAATTTGTTGACATACAGTTGTTCATGGGATTCTCCCATAATCCTTTCTATCTCTCTAGGGTTGGTAGTAACGTTCCCACTTTCATTTTCGATTTTAGTTATTTGTCTCTTCTGTCTTTTTTTCTTTGCCAGTCTAGCTAAAGGTTTGTCAATTTTGTAGATCTTTTCAAAGAACCAACTTTTGGTTTCATTGATTTTCTCTGTGGTTTTTTTATTCTCTGTTTTTTTCTCTCTGCACTAATCTTTATTATTTCCTTCCTTCTGCCAGCTTTGGGTTTAGTTTATTCTTCCTTTTTCTGATTCCTTAAAGAGTAAAGATAGTTTGTTTATTTGAGATCCTTCTCCTTTTTCAGTGTAGACATTTACAGCCATGAACTCCCCTCCGAGCACTGCTTGTGCCGTGTCCATAAGTCTGTTCTGATGTACTTTTAGTCCCATTAATTTAAGGCTATGAAACTGACCTGGATGCTTCATGTCATTGGAAACGCTGTAGACTGTGTTGGGGGACAGTCTGTGTGTTGTGACGTAGTGAAGCTTTCACTGAGAGCCTTTTCTCATGGGTGAGCTGTGATGTCACTCTTTGTGACTTAGTGCTTCAGAAATGTAGCTGCAATTTTTGTAATTAGATACTGAGCCAATGGAAAACAAAACGGTGAAAGAATAAATTGCAAGTTTTGAATATATATATTGTTTATTTGTTTTTATTTTAGGAAAAGGGGAAAATGCTGCTTCTGCACCAGTGGCCTACAGCGGACTTCCAGAGTGGAGGGACCACTGAAGGTTGTTTTCTCCCAGGTTTGTAGATGCGAGACAGAGGGAGCCACAGGCACAAAGAAAGCCAAGGACTCAGTGCTTTTAAATTCCTGCCCCCTTATATAAAGCCAGCTTTATCATGACAATAACCACAGGTAGTGTCTGCTCAGCAGTTAATGCCTGATGGGCACTGGGAGTGCTTTTCAAGAAGAACTACATGAAATCCCCACTGTGTGCACCAGAAAACCAAAGCCCAGGTGGTGCCTGTTGTCCCCGTGGTCCAGGCCCGCACTGGATCCTTCCGGGCTACCTGGGTCCAGAGCCAGTGCTCTCAGCCTCGTAGTGGCTGCCTTGAAATCTAGCCTCTGGGTTATTCTGACAAATAAATCATATTCTTCTACTTCCATAAAAAATGTGGAGATATACTCATGCAAAAAAAAAATGCTGACCTTAGAACAGTAAAACCATATTTTAGAATTCATGTTTAAAGAAAAAATCATGATTATCTGCTAAAACTTAATCATTCCTTTTAGTGTAAGAGTCCCAGTGTGTCTTGGGGAGTATGAATGCTGTGGGTGGAGCAGTGCCCTCCCACGAGTGCTTCAGAGTCTGTTTAGAGAGATAAACTTGACATAAAATAATGAACAAAAATATGACCGTGTGTGATTCGATTAGATATTAAGTTGAATACTAAACCACAACAGTTAACATCGTTTGCTGGTGCTGCAGAGAGGTGTAGGTGGCAGCCATCTGGAGGCAGAGAGCAGCCCAGACACTGCAGGAATGCAGTGCCTGATAAGGAGCCAGGCTGCGTGGTAGAACACAGCCCTGCTGGGGAGAGGGCGGGGGTCAGGCTGCACTGTGCTCCATGTGCTGAAATAAACATCAAATAGGCTCGACAGTGTAGTAGTTTAAAAAATTTAAATTCTAGGAAAAACGTCACAGTAAAATTGAGCGTAGCAGTGATCATAGAGGCACACTTTCAAATATACAAAAATTTAAATAATGAGAAATGCAGGAAATTAAAACGTAAATACTGGGAAAATATTTGTATCAAATTTGGCACTAAATGATTAGTTTCTCTGACATATCAACAGTCGCGCTAGTCAGGCTGGGATATGCTGTGCTGCACTGACAACCCCCAGAGCCCAGCAGCTCGGCTCCACACAAGCAGTGCCCTCCCTCGAGGCCCTCCTCCATCCCGAGGCTTGTCTGGGACCGATGGTCTCCAGGGAAGGGAGATGGAGGAGGAGCACTGTCCCAGTGCCCGGGCCCCAGACAGCGGCTGCGGTATTTGCCAAGCAGGGTCTCTGCCACGTGCCTCCATAGATTGATTGGAAAAGCGGCAGATGGTCCACAGACGTGACCATGATTGTGGATCAGGGAGGATGTTGTTCCTCAGTGTGGATCAAGGAAATGCAGAGTGAAGGGCGGGACCTCTCAGCTAGTCAGGATTGGAAATAACATATGTAAGTGGCCCTTGCCGCCCCAGTTGGTGGTTCCTAAGTTCGGCTGGCCAAGGTGTGGACAATAATTCAAACAGTGGAGGAAACCATGTTATAGAACCTACATGGTTCTCAAGTTTCAGACGTTGACTGGCTTATCCGGTCATGCATCTAAATCTACCCTCCCCTGAGCTTGGAGAGCAGGGACATCTGTATATTTAGAGCAGGGACACCTGTATATTTAAATCCCCAGCACTAGCAGTGTAGAGGCCACGGTGAGCCCACAAGTCCTGGGCAGTATGAGTTGGTGCTTCCTCTTAGCCAGCAGCCTGGCAGTGTGGGTGGCAGGATCCATGGGCGTGTTCACCCATTCACTCCAATGATTCAAAAAAGAGAAAGGAAGCTACATGGTCAATGATGTAAAATAGAAGAACCTGGGTGTCCAGACCAGTAGTAGGAACAACCTGGTGTCCAGAACTGGTGGTGGGAACAACCTGGTGTGCAGCCCTACCAGTGGGGCCTCTGCTTAGATGAGCAATGGACTGCAGCTGCAGTGCTGGCGTGTGTCGTGGCGCGTCAACAAGACACATGGATCCCTCCCCTCTGTACTCTCCACCTGCAGGAGCCGGGCACCTGACCCATAGAGCTGGGTTGGGGTGTTTTGGAAAGGATTCTTCTCTCCTTAAGCTCACATTGTTTATTTTTAAAATTACAGAAAAATATCAGGAGTTTCAAACAGAGAAAGGGCTGGGAGGACTGCAGAGTCTGAGAGAGCTTAAGGGAGGGCAGCCGGGGCACAGGCCGCTCAGGAAGCACCTGCAGAAGGTGAGCCAGGTGGCGGGAGGAAGGACAGAGGGACGGCCTGCAGGTCGACAGGGTCAGAAACCACTGGGGCGGGCCCCGAGGAGCCCCCTGGCTGGTTAGTCCTGACAGGGCTGGTGTGCTGGTTTCCTGCATCGGTCCTGGCGCTGCCGCCCACAGCAAAGCGTCCTGAGAGCCTGCGGGTGGCTTTCAGGCGGACGTCATCAGGGCTCATTGCTGGCATTTGTATGTGTGTGTGTGCGATGAAGGCAGTGCACATGCCCTGAGGTGTGCCTGCATTGCACACTTGTCCAGTGGTGCCGTGCTGGTTTACAACCTGCGATTACACCCCTCGCCGGGCTCTGAGGCAGGAGGCCCAGCTGCCCCGACACAGGTGTTGCCCTTGGCCGCCCAAGGTCTTGGGTGATCCGGAGCAGTTACCGCGGACGCCCGCACACAGAGCAGGACCTTCCGAGCGCTGGGCAGCCAGCGGGGCAGCTGCCCCTCGGTTCCCACTGCGGGGCGGCCAGGGCAGGACTCCTGAGCTCCTCTGACCCCTCTCCCTGCAGGGGCCGAGGATGACCTGACGCTGCGCGCAGCACTCTACGGCCTGCTCTTCCACTGCCATGCTGACCACGCCGACTGGGAGGGCGGCCTCAAGGTGCTGGACGAGGCTGTGCAGGTGCTGCCGCGGACGGCACACCGCCTGTGAGTGCTGCGCCACCCCCACCTTTCCCTGGAGCCCACCACCCCGCCCCACCCGGGGAACGCCCTCATGCCCAAGGCCCCTCCCTGCCTGGGGGCTCCTTGTGCCCTGGACCCTTCCCCCTGATGCCTGGGGCCCCTCCCCACCAGGAGATGCCCCAACACTTGGGAACCCCTCCCTCTGACGCCTGGGGATCCCTCTTTGATGGGTGACCGCCCCACGCCCAGAGAACCTTTGCCCACCCAGGACCTTTCCCTGCCCAGGGACCCCCTTCTGAGGACCCCCTCACCCATCTGCACCCCTTCCCAGAGTGCCTACCCCCTGCAATCCCACAGTGCCTTCTCACACACTCCCATTTCCCCTGAGGACTTTATTTCCCCACTACGAGTTCAACACAAGAAAGTTGGGGATTTAAAACACAACACACAGGGGCTGGCCCTGTGGTGTAACAGTTAAGTGTGCACGCTCTGCTGCTGGCGGCTCGGGTTTGGATCCTGGGGGCGCACTGAGGCACCGCTTGTCAGGCCACGCTGTGGCGGCGTCCCATATAAAGTGGAGGAAGATGGGCACAGGTGTTAGCCCATGGCCGGTCTTCCTCAGCAAAAAAGGAGGAGGATTGGCATGGGTGTTAGCTCAGGGCTGATCTTCCTCACAAAAAAAAAACACAACACACACACACCTCATAATAAAATAAAAAAAAAATAAGAAAAATAAAACACAAAAACCCCAAGTAACTCAGGTTCCATTTTGTTTTACCTTTGTAAGAAGGAAAATGCCAAATACTTGCTTTGGATGCATTAGATACATTTAAAATTTTTATCATTCACTTCAAGCATTACTTTCTCTCTTTTGCTTTTATTTAGTTTGATTTTCAAGCACATGGTCATTGTGAAGGCCAAGCTTGGCCAGAATTTTACGATGGAGATACAGAAATTCAAGGACGAGAGTGAAGATTATGTGGCACACATGTGGCACCGCCTGGCCTTGAACTCCAAGAACGTCTTCGGAGAGCTGACCTGCTATCATAATGCAATTCATGTCTTACAGGTCTGCTCTGGGTCCCTCTGGGTGGCTATGAGTAAACTCCTCCCGTATAGAGGTGATCCCTCGAGGGAAGCTGCATGGGGAGGCGCCTGAAGGAGCCCTTGCTGTGTGGAGCAGCAGGACCCCCTCCTGGGAGGCGCGGCCCCGTCTCCTTTGCTGACGAGTCAAAGGCAGCAGACGGACCCGTCTTCCATCACCCCCTTCCAGTATGGAGGGACGAGGTCCTTGTGTGTAGGGTCCGCGGGTGATCGTGTCGCTGCCTGGGGGCAGGGTGAGAGTGGGTGAGGCCCACCCAAGGAGGAGGAGCCCGAGGCCTGGACCAGGCTGTGGAGGCAGTGGGGCTCCGCAGCCTTCTGGAATTCGTGGGTCCTGGGGACATTCCTCACCCCCAAGAAGCCAAGACAGACATTCCTCTCAATGCTCCTGGAGTGAAGTAGGGTAGATCTGAGGGAGGGGGCACCTCAATTTGATGCAAGAGCATATAGAACTTGCCCAAGGACAAAGAAGGCCCCTAATCGTGGGACTGAAGATGTCCCAGACACACACCACAGCAGATATCTGAAAGGTTTTCTGTTAAGCAGGTTTCTCCCTCCTGGAGCAAATCCTGCCCTGGGATTTTTGGAGTGCTCCAGGGGCTGGGGTGTCTCTCGGGAAGGGGTTAACTGGGGGCTGGTCAGGAGGCCACTCTGGGTCCAAACCACAGGCTCTGCCACTTGCTGTGTGGTCAGCACCGAGGCCTGGGTTCCCAACAAGTGGCTGTGGGGTGCCCCTGCGCCTTGCTCCTGGGCCAAAAGCCAAGGCCTCCCTGGGCGATGGCTCCGCCAGGTTCGCTGGGACCAGGCAGTGTGGACTCCGCCTCCACCAGAGAGAGGCAGGTCACCTGGACAGAGCTGAGCCTGTCGGGCTCCCTTTGCAGTGATGACCTTGGAGAGGCTCTCTGTTCCTGCTGACCCCAAATCCCTTCCCGCCACTATTTCTTTTTTCTTAGGGGTAGGAGGCATTTTTTAGTAAATTCACGGAGTTATACAACCATCCCCACAAGCAATTTTAGAATATCTCATCACTCCCCAAAAACCTAAGTCTATTAGCACTCACTCCCCCTCCCTCCCACCACCAGCCCCAGAGAGCCACAAATCTCCTTCCTCTCCCTATGGGTTTGTCTGTTCTGGACATTTCACACAAATGGAATCAGATAAGATGTGGCCTTTGCGTCTGGCTTCTTGCACTGAACATGTTTCCAAAGTTCATCGTGTTGTAGCGTGTGTCAGTGCTTTGTCCCTTTTTATGGCTGAATGACATGCCATTGTGTGGAGGGACATCATTGTGTGGATGGATGTCATCATGTGGAGGGACATCATTGTGTGGTTGGATGTCATCGTGTGAATGACACCATTGTGTGGAGAGACGTCGTTGTGTGGAGAGACATCATTGTGTGGATGGACTTCACTGTGTGGATGGACATCATTATGTGGATAGACACCATTGTGTGGAGAGACATCGTTGTGTGGATGGACGTCATCGTGTGGATGGACGTCACCATGTGGATGGATGTCATCGTGTGGAGAGACGTCACTGTGTGGATGGACTTCACTGTGTGGATGGACACCATTGTGTGGAGAGATGTCATTGTTTGGATGGACCTCATTGTGTGGATGGACATCACCATGTGGATGGATGTCATTGTGTGGATGGACATCATTGTGTGGAGAGATCTCGTGAGACATCCTTGTGTGTAATGGACACCATTGTGTGTATGGACACCATTGTGTGGAGAGACCTCATGAGACATCATTGTGTAGAGAGACGTCATTGTGTGGAGAGATGTCATTGTGTGGACACACACCATTGTGTGGAGAGAGATCATTGTGTGGATGGACACCATTGTATGGAGAGATGTCATTGTGTGGATGGACATTATCGTGTGGATGGACGTCATCGTGTGGATGGACACCATTGTGTGGAGAGACACCACTGTGTGGAGAGAGGTCATTGTGTGGAGAGATGTCATTATGTGGATGGACACCATTGTGTAGAGAGACGTCATCGTGTGGATGGACATCATCGTGTGGATGGACATCATCATGTGGATGGACACCATTGTATGGATGGACGTCATCGTGTGGATGGACACCATTGTGTGGAGAGATCTCATGAGACATCATTATGTGTATGGACACCATTGTGTGGATGGACATCATTGTGTGGAGAGACCTCATGAGACATCATTGTGTGGAGAGACATCATTGTGTGGATGGACACCATTGTGTGGAGAGACATCATCGTGTGGATGGATATCATCATGTGGATGGACGTCATCGTGTGGATGGACACCATTGTGTGGAGAGACACCACTGTGTGAAGAGACGTCATTGTGTGGATGGACATCATTATGTGGAGAGATCTCGTGAGACATCATTGTGTGTATGGACACCATTGTGTGTATGGACATCATTGTGTGGAGAGACCTCATGAGACATCATTGTGTGGAGAGACGTCATTGTGTGGAGAGACCTCCTGAGACATCATTGTGTGGAGAGACGTCATTGTGTGGATGGACATCATTGTGTGGAGAGACATTTTGTTGATGGGCATTTGTGGTGGTTCCCTTTTTTAGCTGTTGTGAATAATGCTCCTATAAGCATTTGTGTACAAGTTTTTGCACGGACATGTGTTTACGTATCTCTTGGGCATATACCTAGGAATGCAATTGGTGGGTCATATGGTAACTCTACGCTTACCTATTTGAGGAACTGCAGGCTGTTTTCCACAGTGGCTGCACCATTTTACATTCCTACCAGCAGTGCACCAGGGTTCCAATTTCTCCACATCGTCGCCAACACTCGTTATTATCTGACTTTTGGGTTCTAGCCATCCTACTGGGTGCAAAGTGCTATCTCATCGTGGTTTGACGTGCATTTCCCTAATGACTAATGCTGAGCTTCTTTTCGTGCATTTATTGGGCACATGTATATCTTCTTTGGAGAAATGTCTATTCAGATTCTTTCCCCATTTTTTAATTTGGTTGTTTGTCTTTTTATTCTTGAGTTGTAGGAGTTCATTATGTATTCTGGATACAAGTCCCTTATCAGATATATGATTTGTAAATATTTTCTCTCATTCTCTGGATTATCTTTTCAACCACTCTTTCACTTTCTTGATGATGTCATTTGTAGCATCAAAGTTTATCATTTTGAGGAAGTTCAATTTGTCTGTCTCTTCTTTTGTTGCTGGTACTTATGGTATTGTATGTGAGAAACCATCACGTAATCCAAGGTCGTGAAGATTCACTCCTAAGTTCTCTTCTAAGAGTTTCATAGTTTTAGCTCTTACATTTAGGTATGATTTGTTTTGAGTCAGTTTCTGTGTTTGGTGTGAGGCAGGGGTCCTACTCCATTCTTCAGCGTGTGGAAGCCCAGTTTTGCCAGCACCGTTTATTGAAAATATGATCATTCTCTCTCCAGCCCTCTAACGGGACTCTTGCTTCCACCACCCCTCTTGCACAGCTCTTTGTCAAAACCACCAACAACGTCCATGGTCATTCTGAGACCCCATCTTACCCTGCTTGATGGGGCATATGGCTGGCCCCTCTGCTCTGATAGACTTCCTTCACTTGGCTCCCAAGTTCCCCCGCCTCTCAAGGTCACTCCTCCTTCTCTTCTCCCCACCCTTAATGAGGGAGGAGAACCCAGGCTCAGGGCTTGGACCGCCCCCTTCCATGACCATCCCTCCCTGGTGACTTCAACCAGTGTCCGGGGTAAATCCCATCCCTGCGCTGACTTTCCTCACAACTAAGTCCCCAGCCCAGACTTCCCTCCACTGTAACCTCGCACGTGCCACTGCCTACTCCACACTCTATCTTACCGACGATTTAACCCAGCATACCCAAACTCCTGCTCCTGCGCGCCGTCCTTCTCCGTCCTGCCTTCCCCACCCTTGGATGGCAGCCCCGCGGGTGACCGCAGAGCCGTCCAGATCAAGCCTTGTGTACACACTTCCACGTGTGCTGGAGAAACACAAAGCTGAGGACGTGATGGCGGGGAGCCGCTTGAGGCTGGGCTGCCGAGGAGCCCTGCTCCAGAAGGCAGGAGGGACGTGCGGGGTCTGCAGGGGACTGGGTGGGGCAGGCGGGTGGGCGGGGTGTCCACAGGGAGAGCAGATTCAGAAGTGGTCTCGTAGGGTGAAAACAAACCCATTTCCTTCTAGAAAATGAAATAATAAAACCACTTCATGTTGTAGATCACATCTTCAGTACAGTTCTGGGGCAGGAATGGGAAGAGCAGAGTCTTTAACACCCTGTTTTGTTTAATCCCAAAGAAGCCCGAGAGTGAGTGGCAGAAAGTTGACTATATCATGGAATTCAGTGAGTGGCTGTATTACAAACAGTTTCCTATCGACGACGTGATCTTCCACCTGAAGTGGGCGATCGACATCCTGCTGATGATGAAACCTGCCAGGGACACACCTGAGCCGGCTGGTGAGGAGACATGGCCCGGGAGGGGGGAGGGGGGCCACCCACCACTGTTGTCTCCTGGACACAGATGTCCCTTCAACGGTCGTGTCGTCTCTCATTCAGAGAGTCGCTTCACGTACACAGTGCAGTGCCACCCCCACCAGGCAGCACCGCCCCCGCCCAGGAAGTTCCAAGTAGACTCCCCTCAGTGCCCGTGCTCAGGAAAGGGGTTAGGGGGACCTGCTCGCACCATTATCAGGTGGCACTAACAGGAAGGCCCAGCCTGTTCTGATAGACAAGATCAGGAGTCAGCCCCCAGGCCACTCCCAAGGCTGCAGGAGCAGGTGCAGGAACGCACCTCTGCACTGAGGGTGCTTCACACCCCACGCCAGAGCTCACCTCTCTGCCGTCCCTCAGTGCTCATCCCTGAGGTCGTGGAGGGATGGAGATGTGTTTGGTTTGGGCTGAGAGGTGAGGGTTTGCTGAGCTGGAGTGCTGGTGAGTAGAGGAGTCTGGGGCAGCCTCGCTGTTGCCAGAATTTCGGGGGGTTTGAAAACCACAGGCATCTGCCCAGAGCAGGTCTGGGTGCAGCCAGGGGTCACGGAGCTCCCTGGGAGATGCCCACGGGCAGCAGGGTTGAGACCCCGTCCTGGAGGGAGCAGCGTTTCGGAGTAAACCAGTCACCCTTCCTGTGGGAGAGTGGACGCAGGGCGCAGGGCACTAAGGGCTGCTCCAGAGGCCTCTGCTCGGCCAGGGTAGGGGCTGAGAGGTGACATGAGCCTGCTCTGTGGGGAGCGCAGACGTCGCCAGACCTGTCCACTCAATGTCCAGTGCCCGTCTGTATGAGTGCAGTCAGCCAGCTCAGACCAGCTCCATCACTTCCAACCCCGACGAGTAGACCCCAGAGCTGCAGGACACCAGCCAGGCACCCACCCTGGGCCTGGGACAGGCATCTCCTTGCAGGCCCAACTGTAGCCTGCAGCATCGCGGCAGGCTGGCATGTTGTCTCCCGGCCCGGGGAGAGGCCCTGGGACAGCCGTCTCTGAGGCCAGCTTGGCCCCTGCTCGGGTGGGCACCTCTTCTGGAAGGGGCTCGGCTGCCAGGACAGGCAGCAGGCATTGATTAGATCATTCCCCTCTGATGGGCCATGCAGGGCCACTGGGGGCCACCTGAGGGCCTGGGAGAGGGGCAGAGAGGAAATGGCTAAGGCCCACAGACACTGGTCCAGGCGTGCTCACAGCTGCGGTTGCCCCTGTCTTGCAGAGGAGCATGCACCCCCCGAGGCAGCCCCAGAGAGCCCACTGTCCGAGGACATGGGGACAGCCTCCTTGGAAAGGCTGCACAGCGTGCGGCAGTTGGAATCACTGGCCCGTGCCCACATCCTGCTGGCCCTGATGGTGTCCCAGAGCGCCACCAGCTACCAGGACTACTGCCTCATGGCCTACGCCTTCCTCAGGCGCATCTGGCAGGTGAGGCCACGGCTGCCCTCCTGCACGGTCCTCAGCTCTGCGGGTTCAGAATCTGGGCTCGTGGATTAGCACCTCCAAAGACTGTCTGAAGACTCGAGATACGAGCAAATGTCTCTCCACTTGTTTCCCATCAGTGTTAAAAAAATCCCACTCTTGCCCCGCGGGCCTCCTGCTCTTGGAACTCCTCAGAGGAGGGCCCTCACCGCTCCTTCCACACCGGCCCCTCCTCCTCTCTGAAACCCACCCCAGCACCTTTGCCCAACCATCCCCAGAACCGCCTTACCAAGGTCACCCACGCCTCTTTGTGTGGAGTGCCCGGTCAGCCGAAGCTCGTGTCTTCCTGACCAGTGGCAGTCCTGGCATGGCAGATCCTGAACCACTCTGCCACTGGGCTTCCAGAACCTTCTGTGCTCCCCACAGCCTCCTTACTGCCCCCCTTCCCCACCACCTCCTCACAGGGGCCCCCCAGGGGCCCCTTGTTCTCAGGGATCTCCTACAAGCAGTACCCCCCAGCAGGACAGCGTCCATCAAGACAGGCCTTTCTTCTGAGGGCAAGTTTGTGCCCTGCCCTCAGTAATGTGCTGGAGAGAACAGGGCCGTCGCCATTCGGCAGCAGGAAGATCCTTGATCTTCAGCATGTCCCAGGCCACACCTCACACCCCCCACCACCTGCCACGTAACAGTTCTTTACGATTCTTTTAGGAGAACTGCTAAAAGTGATTCAAATATGTTCTTACTTAGACATTAAACTCACTCACTTTACGGAGCTGACAAGCCTCCGTAAGGGTCAGCGTGTCTGCCCCTCACCCCCACGCTCCCACTGGTACAGAGTCCTGGAGAGGATGCCCCGAGTGCAGAGGAGGGCTGGCCACCTCACAGGCTTGGCCACAGTGGACAAGTGGACACGAGGCTGCCACTCTGAGCCTTAGGATCACCAGCTCCCTCAGGTCTGAGCCTGCAGGAGGAAGGTGGGGACGTGCGTCCGTTCTCGTTGCAAATTTGGATTTCGTTTTTCCCAGGTTTCTTTATTAACAGCAGGAAAGTCCATTTCAGAAAGTAAAATTCCAGCAGCAGCTAGTTCGCGTTTGTTGTTGACTAAAAGGGAGCAGGAGCAGGAGAGGAGCAACGACAAGGACGCGGAGAAGGGCAGAGAGCAGAAGCAGGTAGCCAACTCGGCCCAAGTGTGCAGGCCACTCTGGGCAGCCCCCGCGGCGGGTGGTTGCAGAGGCAAGACAGTGGAGTGCGAGGGCCGCAGAGGGGCCACAGCCCGACATGGGGCCTGGTGAACGCTGTGCTTCAGCTCTCTCTCCTGTAAAGTGGAGGCAGTGATCGCACCACACCCCAGGGTTGTTGGGAGAGAAACACAGGGATGTCTGGCTGCTCCCCCTGGTTATCTCATGCTGAGCAAGTCACCAGACAGACACCTTTGCACAGTCACTCTGTGCAGGCAGACCTGGGCCCTGGGGTGCGGGGCGGGGCGGGCAGCTCTCAGGGCATGAGAAACAGCTTCTGCATCACGTGGGGCCCTGTACCGCACATCAGACCTTTCACCCTGAAGTCCCTGCGTGTCCACGTGGCTGTGCGCACTGCAGCCCGTCTGACAGTGGTCCTGTCTGCACAGCCCCCGGAGCTGGGACTCACACCTGGGCTCCGGCTCGAAGTCCTCCTGAGCACGGGATGTGTGGGTGGGGAGGGCCGCAAGCCTGGGGCACCCCCAGGTAGACTCTGGCTGTGCGAGGGGCAGAAAGCGTCCGTTTGCACTCTCTTGGAAGCGATGTCAGAGCGTGGTTTGGAGGTAGAACTGGACGTGGTTCTGGTGTGGCTGCAGCCAGGCTGGGATGGTAGGGCGGCGGCCCTGGGCCACGGGGCTACGGGGAGAGCGCAGATCTGCACTGCACATGGTCTCCAGAGGCGCTGCCTTCTCAAGGCTCACGACCTGTCTACTCAGCTGTGCCACCTGGGCGTATGTTTTCAGCTCCATTTTTTAAAGCAAATCCCGTGTTTCTGCCTTACAGTGTCAAACCCCAGTTCCTAGGAAACAACCTGAAGATTTACCAGCAAGCATAGAAGAATGGGCTTCCTATTCTTGCCCTGAAGAAGTGATATCTGTATTTAAACAAGATAAAAGCGACTTTACAATTAACACATCAAGTATCCAGAAACCGGTAAGTTGACTTAAAGAGTGTCCCAGGCCTTGGAAATACACTGGCAAGCCTGCATTCCGCATCTCCATGACTTGTAGCTCCAGCCAACGTCTTCTGTTATGAAATATGCCCAGAAAGAGAAGTACAGAAACAGGCGTTTACTTAGTGACTTGTTAAGAAGGGAACAGGTGTCAGCACCCAGGTCAAGGCGCAGAGCACCATTGGCCCAGGGCTCCCCACAGCCCCTGCCCGGCCCCCACTCTTTCCCAGACAACTGCCACCATCCGTGGGCAACACTTCCTTCTTTTCCTCACGCATTCACCACCCAGTAACACCCCTAAACATGAAAATTAGTCGTCCTGTGGCTGCCATAACAAGTTACCACAAATCAGGTGGTTTAAGCAGCAGAAGTGTGTTCTCCCGCAGTTCTGGAGGCCACACATCCAGAATCAGTATCACTGGGCAGAAATCAGGGTGTCAGCAGAGCCACGTTCCCTCTGGAGGCTCCGGGGGATCGTTCCTGCCCTTCTAGCTCCTGGTGGTCCCAGGGGTCCCTGGGTTTGTGGCTGCCTCACCCCAATCCCGGCCTCCATCTTCACGTGGCCTCTCCTTTGTGTCTGTGTCACGTCTCCCTCTGCCTCCCTCTTATAAGGACCCATGTGATTACATTTAGGGCATAAGCATGATCTCCCCGTCTCAGATCTTTATCTTTTTTGTGTGTGTGTGTGAGGAAGATCAGCCCTGTGCTAACATCTGCCAGTCCTCCTCTTTTTGCTGAGGAAGACTGGCCCTGGCCTAACATCTGTGCCCATCTTCCTCCACTTTATATGGGACACCTCCACAGCATGGCTTGCCAAGCGGTGCATCGGTGCGCGCCCAGGATCTGAACCAGCGAACCCCAGGCTGCCGCAGCAGAGCATGCGCACTTAACCACTTGTGCCACCAGGCCAGCCCCTCAGATCTTTATCTTAACCACCCCTGGAAAGTCCTTTTTTGCCATGTAAGGTCAGACGCACAGGTTCCCAGGGTTAGCACCTGAGGACGTTGAGGGCCATTATTTAGCTCACTACATTCGGCCTATTTTTCTATGCTTTATAAAAATGGAATCATTCCATATGTAATCTTTGGTGTTGGCTTCTTTCATTCAGTCATGTTTGTGGGACTCCTCCATGCTCATTTGTGTCTCTATAGTTTGTTCTCGTTCATGGCTGTAGAGTATTCTGTGACTTGGCTGGACCACAATCTTTTTGTCCATTCAGCTACTGATGGTCATTGGGGCTGTGTCTGGTCGTGGCTGTTACAAAGGAAGCTGCTGTGGGCATTCACGTACACGTGTCTCTGTGCCCACGTGTCTCTGTGCCCACACGCCCACGTGTCTGGAGCACATACCCAGCAGCAGAATTTCTGGATCACACAGCTTGTGTATCTTCAGCCACAGAGTATATTGCCAAATTGCCTTTGAAAGTGATGGTGCCAGCTACATGCCACCCTCAGGGGCAAGAGTTCCCATTGCCCTACCCTTGCCAGCCCAGCGTGGCTCACCTGCTTAACTTTGTTGGTGGACGTGTGGCAGCATCTCGCTGTGTCTTAATTGGACACTCCCTGGTTAAGGCAAGGGAGGAGACCTTTCAGTGCCTGTTGGCCACTTGGGTGTCCTCTTCTGTGATGTGCCTGTCCTGTCCACTGCCCACAGTCTATTCAGCTTTCTGTCTTTTCCTTGTTGATTGGAAGGAATTCTTTATCTATTCTGGAAAAAGCAGTTTGACAGTTCACAGACAGCAGATCACTGTCCACTCTGTGCCTTGGCTTTTTTGAGGTCTCGTGAATAGAGATTTCTAGTTTTAATGCAATAAAAATTATTAATCTTTTTCTTTGTGAGTAGTGCTTTTTTGTGTCCTGTTTAAAAGAAAAGTTTCTCTTCTCAAAGGTCATGTAGATATTCTCTTACAATATTTTTCCAAAACCTTCATAGTTTTACATGTCAGATTTAGATCTACAATCCACCTGAAATTGGTTTGTGTGTGGTGTGAGGTGAGGGATCCAGCTTCAAATTTTTAAATCTGGATATCTGAATGTTCTAACACCATTTATTGAAAAATCATTTGCCCACCTTCTTTGCATCACATTTGTCGTGAATCAAGTGTCCACACGTGCACCACCATCTCACTGTCTCGATTATGACCTTCATAACTTTGAATGTTAGGTGGAGAACGTCCCCTCACCTGACTCTTCATGACGACTTGGGAGGTCCTCTCCATTTTCCATTGAACTTCCATGTGTATTTTAGAATCAGCTTGTCAGACTCCATTTAAAACCCTGGTGGAGTTTTGGTTGTGATTGAATTGAATGCCTAGAATCCTTAAGTGTTTGGAGGAATTCCCTGGTGAAGCCTCTGGGCCTAGGTCTTCTATTTGGGAAGATTTTAAATTATGGATCCAATTTATTTAATAGTTATAGAACTCTTCAGATTTTCTGTTTCTTCTTGTAATAATTTTGGTGGGTTTTGTTTTTCTAGGATGTTTCCATTTAATATAAAATTTCAAATTTATTGGCATAATGTTGTTCTTAATATCCTTTAATGATCTTTATGGTCTGTAGGATCCATAGAGATCTTGTGGCTCCCCACCTCTCTTTCTTGATCAGCCTAACCAGGAGTTATCAATTATTAGTCTCTCAAAGAACCACACGCTTTCCAGGTCACCTGAATGGCACTGGGCGTGGATGTAGTCCCTGAGAGGGCTGCTCTACTTCTAGATTGCCCTTAATCCTAAGGTGCAGCCTTTCGGGGACCCGACTTGGGTATTTAGCTTTGGGTGGGCTCTCAACTCTAGTTTTTTGGCTCCACCCTGCAAAGAAAAAATCAGAAGCACCATTCAGCATCTCAGCTGCCTCTTCAAATCAGCAGACACCCCCCAGGACAAATGTACCCCAGTATGCCAGGTTCACTTCTCTGGATATCCATCTTTTTCCAGGTCTTGGTCCAGTAATTTTTCCCAGCATTATTCATTTTTCAATGCTTTTAAGCAGATTTTTAAAATAGTTCATCCAACTTTTCTAATTTTCCACTGAAGAGTTACTGTTTTATCAAACTTAGTCCAACATTATAAGAATTATTAGTTCTTCTCTATCTATATTAGATTTTAAAGCAGTTGTATGTGCACATAAAAAAAATTCTGCTTTTAAGGGACCAGTAGTTTTTAGTGGAAAAAATAAAACAAAAACATTAATTTGAATAAATACATGAATGGATTGTTTCTCGTGAGGATCTTTAGCTGTGCTTGGGTGCTGAAGATTATAGGGAATTTCACATGACTAAATGAAAGCTGTTGAAGGCGAGAAGGAAGAGAGCACATCATTCATTCATTCATTGATTCATTCAACAAACATTTGTTGAACATCTACTGTGTGCTAGGCACTGTGAAGGACCGAGTTCTTTAAAGAAAGAGCTGATGAGCTAGTGGCCTCACCTTCCTCCCTCTCTGACCTTACATGTTTGTTGTGTATTTATGTAGACGTACAGTTTATATTATCTGGACCACTTGGTCAAGGCCCTGCAGAAGATGTCCCTTTATGAGCTCACAATCCCAGTCCTACAGTTGGGAGTACTAATTGCAGCCTCTGTGGTAGAAAGCAAGAGCCTCCAAGATCTCTACCACCTTCGGTTGGTATACCTGTTTTATTTTCGGGGAAACTGGGAAACGTTTAAACAGCTACAGTGCAAATTTCCCTAAAGCAATATAAAAACAAACAGCATTTTAAAATATTAATTCTGTAAATAATAAAGTCCCTAAGATTTGTAAAGCCAAATAAATCAAAATACTTGAACATAAAAATAGTATTTTTATTTTAAAATTTCTACCTAGTCCTTAAGAGAATATCATTGTTCTAAGGAAACACACACTATTAGAATAAAGGGGCATTGTGTCTTCAACTTACTCTCAAATACTCCAGAAGAAAAGAAAATAGGGAGAGAGAGAGAGGAAGAGAGAAAGGAGGGAGGAGGGGGAGAGGGAGCAGGAGAGCCAGCGTGGGGAAGCGTCCGGCCAGGGAATCGGCAAGGATGGGCGGTGATTCTGTGTAGTGTTCGTGCAACTTTTCTGTAAGCGCGAAAGCACTTCAGATAAAGTCATTTTACACAAGAATCACAGCAGGGCTTCTCTGCCTGAGCTGTGATGGGCAGTCAGAGCCCCCGCTGTGCCTTCTCTTTCCCTAGAGGAGACCCTGACCCCACAAACACAAATACATACTGGGTGAAATATATGAACGAGTGTTAAAAGTTTTTCCACCTGAAATTTGATGGAGCCACCTGTTATTTTTCCCTAATAATTTTGCTTAGCTTTAAAGATTGTTGAAAATATCATCAAATTATCCATTTCTATTTTCGTTTACCCATTTTTATCAAGTACACTAAGGCCAGCACAGCCTGAGTGATCGCTGCGCCTGTGTGACAGTGTTGACCCTCCTTCTCGCCCCAGACTTGCCCTGGTTTGTTCCGAGTTGAAGCTGCGAGAAGCAGCCGCTTACCATGAAGAAGTGGTCGGGCAGACGTACCTCGGAGAAACGGAGCAGGCCAGGTGTGTTCAGGGACCCGTGGTGCGTCCTCCTGGCTGCTGACTCTCCTCAGCGACACAAGTTTACCTGTAAAGAAGGAAGGACTTGGTCAATCTGGCCCTTCCAACTCTCGGCCGTGTCCCCTCCAAGCCCCAGGCCCCCATCTCTCCTACGACCCGACAGTGGGGTGTCGGGAGGACCCTTGGCCCCGGGGGGCACGGGGCAGTGCCTGAGGTGCAGTTTATCACTTACGACCCCTCCTGTGTGCTGGCGTCTCCCGGGCTGGGGCCGTGCAAGTGGAGGGAGATGGAGGACCGAGAACTTGCAGGGGTCCGGGTGGCGCAGCCACGGCGAGGGAAGCGGGCATACTGAAGCCACGCAGGGAAGGCGGATCGACAGGCGGCAGGAGCCCTGCGGGCGCCTCGGTTGGTGCCGGAGCCTAGCAGGGAAGGCTGCCTTTCCAGACAGGGGAGAGTTCTGCCCTGGAGTCTGAGATACGTACTGATGTCAGGATGTCACGTTAGTAGCTGGGTGCACGAGTCTGGAGTTGGAAGAGAGAAAGGCCTAGAAACATGAATTTGGGAGTCATTTGCTGGTAAATCACGAGATTTTTTTTAATCTTTGTAAACAGTGAGTGAATAGTGGCTTCTTATAGCTTTTTTAATTTGTGTTTCTTTGATTATGAGTGAAATTGAACATTTTCAGGTATTTCTTGGCTGTTGTATTTCTTCCTTGACATATTGCCTATTTTACTTACATTAGCTGCAGAAAAGAAATTTCCTTGAGAAAGGAGAAAAATAAGGAATCGCTATTAGAAGAGAGTCTGCCAGCACTGAATGAGCCCGTAACTCCAGTCCAGCAAGGGGAGATGAAGCCCCTCATAGCAAAGGATAAGGTACCCCACTCTGCCAGAGGCACGTTGAGTCCTAGCCCGGGGGGTGTGACGGGGCTGCAGCTCCAGCCAGTCAGCCAGGACTTGTCTTGACTGCGTGCTGGGTCCAAACCCTTGTGCTGGGAAATCCAGGGACTGAGCAGATGGGTCCCCTCCCTGTGGGGCCCTGGGATTCCCCTGGAGGACGAGGCTGCAAGCCGTCATAGAACAGGCCTGCGCAGCACTTCGGGGAGGATGGGCTGGAGGAGCACAGACAGGTCCCCAAGGAGAGACCACGTCGCCCAGAAGGGCAGGCCCAGCAGGTCTGACCCGTGACCGGCTCTCCCTGACACGGGCTCACCTCGTATGGGCTTGCCCATAAAGGAAAGTAACCGTCCCACTCCCTGCTCTGAAGTCCCAGAACACCTGTCACCATGGGACCCATTTGTGACCCAAAGTCAGCACCCTGGGAGGTCTGGTAGGAAAACACCAGGACCCCAGAGTACACAGCTTCTCATGCAGGCCTGGCTCAGCCTGTGACCCGCACCAGGCCACAGAGAGTCCCGCGTGTGGCACACTGAGTTGCAAGAGCTCAGGGAGCCGTTAGGTGCTGATCAGGGTGCTGCCTGGTACGGGAAGAGGGTGAGGAGGGGGAGCCGGGGCGGGGTTGGGGGAACACTGAGTACAGAGCCCGGGAGCCAGCTCTGACGTGGCTGGTGGTGGGCTTGGGTGGGTGTGAGGTGTAGAGAAGACACAGGTGTCCCAGGAGGGAAACCTCACAGAGGCACAGGGCCTGGTGGGAAACCGGACCGACAGCACAGCCTCCTGCACCGACACAGGCTCCTGGGGACACCCCTGCCTCCCTGCCGTGGAGCCGCTGGCATAGACATCAGAGGCGGAGGCAGTGCAGGCCTGCCATGTCTTTCAGATTTTGAAGATAAACGGAGAGGCCGGTAGAGGCCTGGAAGGAACATCCTTTCCCCAGTTGTGGACCCTCAAAGCGGAGGTTCTCCTTGAGATGGACCTGTACCAGCCTGCGAGACTGCTCCTGTCGGAGGCGTACCTGGCCTTCCAGGTGAGGGGCCACGCTTGCCCAGGCCATCAGGGCCCGTGGGGCCTCCTCGCCATCAGAAGCAGCCCCCCCACCCACACACACAGCTGAGACTGCTTCAGCTGGGAAACGGGCCTGTCTGTTCTGAAGCTTGTGTTGTGTCTTTCGGTTCTAGAACATCCATTTGGTTCTCTTTTTAGATCCGACTCTGTATGGAAGGCCTGTCTCTCATGTCCTTTGTCCATCTTTTCCTCTATTTTCTTGAACTCGTTACTCAGAGTTTGTTCAAGCCCCTGTTCCTGATGACTGCTGTGGGTTTGTTTGTAGCACCTCTTTCTTCTCTTCACTGTGGGGGTTCTGTTCTGTTTCCTAGCAGGCCTGTCAATGTGCACTTTCTGGTGTTGTGTGTGGGGATGAGAACCTGGAGAGGCTTGGTGGCTGCTTCTTCCAGAGAGCGTCAGTCTTGTTCTCAAAGGCAGATGGTGCCCCAGGGCCCCCGTCCTGTGAGTTTTATTCTCATTCTTGGGGTGCGGGCCTTGCAGGTGTCTGTGGCCTCTCCAGGGGCTCATTGACAGCCTAGGGTTGACTGTGCTCTCTTGGAATGGCTTGCCTTCCAGCCTGGCTGCTCAAATCTTAGCTCGGCTCCTTAGCTCCCTGCTGCTGCCATCTGCTGGGTTTCTTGGACCTGCTCTGCCTCAGAGCACGGATCTTTGGGCCCTCCCCGTGGCGCCCCCCACCCTGGGATTGGCCCTTCCAGTGCCAAGACCTGGAATCCCCAAGCTCCAGCCTGCTCTTCCCAGCTGGGCTGTTGCTCTCCTCGCGGGCTCTGTCCCCGCAAGGATGGACGCCCTCGGGAAAAATCCAGGATGAAGTGGAGCCACCCGTGTGTGCGTCACTCCTCCACAAGGTCGTAGCTCCCCCGCTTCTGCCAGTGTCAGCTGCTCCCCAAAGCCTGTAGACAGGTGGTCTGTCTCCGTCCAGCATTCAGGACTGCATCCACTGGGAGGGTGAGGCAAAGCTACAGACCAGACAGGCTGCCACTTGTTTTGAAGAAGAACTCCAGAGAGAGAAAGGTCCCTAAGAAGGGTATAAAAGTGCACCTCGGGAGGTTCAGGTCTCTGTTTCAGGCAGTGGGGACAGGTGTGTGCGGGTCTGCCAGTGAGGATGGTGTGTGCAGACCAGACTCAAGAGGGAGCACGGCCCGGGGAAGGGACCGAGAAGGCTGTGCCAGCTGATGAAGGGAGCGCAGACAGGGTGGGACCCGGGGTGGGGCAGCACTCTGCTGGCGACGGGCTCTTCTGAGACCAGAGGAGGAGGACCACAGGCCTCTAGGAGCTGTAGGGGCGAGAGCCACAGGGGTGGATGGGGACCCACCCTTCTGACCCCGGAGGCTGAAGGCAGTGGGAGGTTGTGAGCTGATGCTGGTTTGTAACAGAAGTTCTTGGCTTTATCAAACCCACCCTCTTGCCACGATCTGGTCTCCGAGCCTGTGCCTGTGCGTCCTTAACCTTCCCCATCAGTCTGCCATCCAGCCCCGTAAAAGGGTTGTCCATGCTGTCCTCACGTCCACCCAGCCACCATCCCGCCCCTCCTGGACCTTCTCTCGCATGGTCAGGACCGGTCTCCTTGGCAGCCTGCCCACAGGCACCTTCTCTCCCTGCCATCCACCACCCCCAACCTCCCTGGTTCTCTTTCCCTCTCAGGGCTGTTCTGTCTCAGCATCTTCCCCTCGTCCACACCCCTGAATCCCCCACCCCACATCTGCAAGTCTCAGGTTCTGCCCCCCTCGGTTCTCTCCCTGGGGTCAAAGCACTCAGACCCTGGTGACGTCTCCCCTGGGGTGTCTGCAGGGACTGGCCCCTGTGTCCGTCCACTCCTCAGGAGGCAGCTGTGCCTGCACCCACACAGAGTTCCCACAGCAACCCTCTGTCAGCCTCTTCCCTCTGGCTCCACCCGCCAGACCCCAGCACTGTCCCTGACACGTGTCTAGCCTCCATGCCCACCTACTCTCTCGGTGTCCACCTCCGCTACCCCCACCCTGGCCACTGTCCCATTACAGCCACTCCCAAGCCTGCACTTGCCTGCCAAGGCCCTGGCTCTTGGGATGAGAAATCCCAGGCCCACCAGGTCCCCCACTTCAGCCTCTGTGGGTCACATGCTGGCCGCTCTCTCTGGGCCCAGCCACCCTGGACTGCTGTTCTTCCTGCTTCAAAGTCCTGGGTCCTCCTGCCAGGGCTCGGTCCAGAAGCCAGCAATTTCTCTCACCTCACCCCACCTGCAGGCCGCCTCTGACCGTGTGCAATGAATGGGGCATGAGGGCAGCCCTGGCCAGCTAGCACGGAGAAGGCCTAGTAGATGCGGACGCTCGGCCCGGTCACCAGACCTGCCTCTCTGCCCTGGTCCAGCATCTGGAGGGGCGCTCCTAGCCCTGGGCCAGCACCCTGAGAGGGCACTGCAGCCTGCTGCTGAAGAGAGGGGGCTTTTCAGGACTGTTAGCACGTTCTGGAACCCTGGAAGTAGGTTTTAACACATGCAGAGGAGTCAAGCTCACCCCCATGCTCTGAGGGCAAATGTGGGGCCTCCTCCTTCAGTTGTCAGAGAAGCTGAGTGGACGGTGGGTGTGGAAAGGCTTGATGCCTAGAGCTGCTCACGCTCTCTCTCTTCTCTTCTCTTCTTTCTCTCCCTCCTTCTCTGTCTGTCTCTGTCTCTGTCTCTCTCTCCCTGTCTCTGTGTCTCTATCTCTTTGTCTCTCTGTCTCTCTCTCTCCCCTCACCTCCTCCCCATCCTGTCTCCACGTGAGTATCTTTTTTAGGAGCTTGAGGATCCTTGTGCAGAATCAAGATGCCTGCACCTTCTAGCACAGTTGGCAAACAAGGAGAAGAACTACGGACAAGCTAGGAAGATGATTGAGAAGGCTCAGCTCCTGGGAGGAAGTGAGGAGTTTTGGTACAGTTCAACCCTGACTCTGGCAGATACACTCTTGTCCGTGGAAAGTGAAGGAAGAGAAGTGGTGGTAAGGAGCAGCAGGCGCCCTGGGCCTCGTCTGGGCATGGTCGGCATGCCCGGTGGGAAAGGGGCCTGTGGGCTGGGCCGGCGGCCAGCAGAGCGACACACTGACACCAAGGCCGTGTCTTCCTCAGGTCTGCCAACTGTTTCAAAAACTCATAGGTGCCTTCAAGGTTCTCAAGAAAGAAAGACCTAACCGAACACCTATATTGGAATTTATGACCACAGACCTAGAAGCCAGGTAATGTTTTGTAAGAGAAATGGTTAATTAACATGAAAGTGTGGTTAACTTTTTCTATCATCAGTTTTCATGCCATATGTCAAACCTATGAAGTTCACAGGCTCACATATCGAGGGCCGTATACCAACACCCAGCTCTAGAAAACTCCAGAGTGTCCTGTCATTCCTTCAGACCTTCTCTGAGAAACAGAGCCTTCTGTCCCCGTGTCCCATCCCCTCTCAGGAAGGGGGCCTCGACCTTGGCCCGTGGGCTCCTGGAGGCAGTGTCTCTTCCTTTCCAATGAACTTTTTTCTTGCAACAGGTCTGCAGGCAGCCTTGTTTTGTTCCTGAATTCTCAGGGAATCTTCTCAGTTCCCGTTAAGCCTGAGGTAGCTTTCCATGGTCACCTCTGGGGTTGAGGGACAGGCACCGCCTGGCCGGTGAGCTGTGGGGGGCCCTCCCCTTCTCCCACAATCACTGTTGCACTGGGTCTCCCCAGGCTGTCCCGGTCTTTATTCTCTGCTCTGCTGGTTGTCTGAGCCACGTGAGACGGGACCAGAGCTCTCATGTCCGGTCCACGGGAGATAGCAGCAGGGACTCCTCTATCCTGCTATCCCACTATCTCCACTATCCCAGGACAGGGAGGCAGCAGGTGTTTTAGGGACAGAACTTCAGAGAGTATTACTGTTTCCTCTATGATTATCCATCTTTCAGAGTTTTAGCGTATTTTTGAGCCAAATTTCCAGTAGTTTGTATTCTCCTAGAAAATTGTTTCCTCTAGATGTCTGGCTGTGTCAGTGTAAACGTTCGCAGCCTCTTTTCTTGTGACCTTTCCAAGTCTTCGCCTTAGGTCTGTCCCGCCCCTTGTCATCTGATTGTACCATCTCTCTTCTCCTAAATCAGAATTAGAGTTTCCAACCTGAATGACCTTTTCAAAGAAGCAGCTTTGGCCCTATTGACCAAAGCAGCAGGGACTGAGTCTTTTTACTTTTTTAGCTTGCTGCTTCGTCCTAGTTCAGCTCTTCTTTCTGTGTTGGTGAGGGGCCTGCTCGTGGCTGTTGTTTCCACTTCTCGGGTGGATCACTTAGTCCAGCCGCTTTCTGTCTCCTCCTCAGTGAACGCGCCTCTGGACTCCACGGGGCAGCACCCCCAGGCTTCCACGTGGGTTTGCTTTTCTGCTCAGGATCATTTAGGAGAGTGGCTTTGAATTTCCACGTGGACGTAATGCCTGGCGTAGGGGTTGTTACTTTCTAATTTTGTTCATTGTGATTGAAGAATGTGGCCTGCACGGTTTCTGGATGAAAGCTAGAGGTGCTGGCGGTAGCCACACGGGTGGTTGGTGTTGGCCTAGAGCTTCTGACCTATCAGAAGCCACCAGCCAGCCTGGGCGTGTGCTCAGCCACATCTGAAGAGGATTCCACCTGCAGGTGTGTGAGCCTCCGCGTGAAGGCCGCCCAGGAGCCAGTGGAGGGCGAACCTTCTGAGCACTTGCTTCTGCTGGACAGAATGGATGCCTGCTTGTTGGAAATTGAGAAGAAGTTTATCAGCTGTGGCTACCAGGAGAACTGTGTGGATGTAAAGCTGGAGCGCGCAAAGATGAAGAGGTGTGTGGCCTTGCTGCGGCCTCTTCCTGCGATGAGCGCTGTCTCCCTGGAGGCCGCACGGGGCAGGGGCAGGGCCAGGGCCAGCGCGCCATGTGCTCAGTGACAGTCCCTGCACGCAGCCCCTCCCCAGGCCCGTCTCACCTTCTCCCCTCAATACTCCCTCTCCACTGCCACTTCCCCCACCTCCTGACCACATGCCCAGCCTTCCTCAGGGGCAAACTCCCATCAGCCCCTGACACGGCCTCCTCCTGGCCTCCGCCTGTTGTCCCCCACTCCCTCCGGGACACCCACACACCCCACACCTGTTCACACTGGCTCTGGTCTCAGGAGGTGGCCCCAGGCGCTGTCCCCCAGGAGGGCTCTGTCACCTCCCTCACATGACCTCTCGGAGGCCCCACTCTCGCCCAGGGCAGGGGCTGGCCTGACTCCCTCAGTTCCAGGCTCCTCCTGCCCACCACCCTCCACAGAGGGAAGAGAGCGAAGCAAAGCCTCAGTAAACACTCCCCTCTCCCACCTCCCCACCCTCCACCCCGCCCGGGGCTACCACATGCTTGGTGTACACGCAGGGTTTCAAAACACAGCAGGCAAGTCACGTGAAAGGTATTAAAAACAGCCTTTGTGAGGGAAAAGGAAACCTGGACACCTGTGCAATCTAACCGTAATTATATTATTATTATAGAAGCAATGATGGTCATTGTAGAACTTTGAGAAATGCAGAAAAGCACAAGCAGGAAAATGAGGTGATCAAACCAGCACAATGAACACTGGTTTTGTTCATCGGATCTGTTAGGCACAGATTTAATTTTTTATAAAAATAGTGTAGTGTGCATACTTATTTTTGTGTTAAGATGTATTGAGAATATCTTTATATGTAAAACACCTAATGATAAAATTTTAAGCACTGATAGAAAATGCAGTGTAGTTACACAGAGGTTACATACTATACGGTGTTAGCCCTGATGAGGTAACACTGGTATTTCTGTTCTAAGTTCCGCTCTTCCGTCTCGTGAAGGTTGTGTGCCGAAAATGAGAAAGATGAAGAGCGGAAGACGGCGTATTACTTGGCAGCGTACGGCTTGGTCCAGAGAGCCGTGGCTGAAGAAGAAGAGAGATTTCGCAGGATTCAGGGCTTACTGTCCCTTCAAGGTGTAAGTGTGTCCCGCGTCCCTGGGTGCATGCCTGGTCACTCCCTCGTGCCTGGGTCATTCCCGTCGTCATGTGAATACACACCACTAAACTTACCCTAAAAACGCAACAGCTGACTTCCCTTTCTGGCTGAGATGGAGCAACAGTGAGTGGATTTACCCTCCCATCCAAAACAACCAAAACAGACAAAAATAGGAAACAGGAATTTCAAAGCAGTGGATGCCAGCAACCACAAGCAGTAACCCCTGAGTAGAGGCGATCCCAGCACTGTCCACGCTCACTGCGGCCACAGCAGGGGAACCCAGGTGGGTCTCGTGGACTGCCTGAGTTGAGGAGGTGGAGCTTGGAGTCCAAGGAGAGCAGGGCAGCTGGACTTTGCAGGACAGAGGACCAGAAAGGTGAGTGCTGTGCAGAAACAAGGCTCCAGAGATCCTCAGGGGACCCCCGGGGAGTCCGGCTGGGGACTCATCAACATGTTCCTGGAGGGTGCTACCCAAGGCCAGGAAGGAACTGCCACAAAGATTCTAGGAAACTGCCTGGCACTCACTCAGGCCTGAGAACAGTGTGTGCTCCCACCAGCCAGACTGGACAACCTCAGGATCCAGGGCGCTGGGCAGAGCAGAGGGCCTGCCTCAGCCGGGAATAATCATCCCTGGACGAGCACGGCTCCAGACCCGCCCGAAGGTCCCACAAGGAGGACCTGAAAGGACCAACTGGCTCCAAGTGACTTACCTGTCCCAGAGCAAAAGTCAAGGACATTTGCAGGAATACAAACATGTCCATCCACCAAAAAGTAAAATGCACCATGTCTGACAACCGAGCAAAAATGACCATACCAAAAAAACAATGAAAAATTGCATGCAAAACTTACCATGCAAAAAAGCAGGAAAATGTGACTCGTAATATGGAGAATAATCAGTCAATCAAAACCTACCCAGAATGGACACAGATATTAGAATTGGAATACAACGATGTTAGAACAGTTATTAGGGCTATTCTAGACGCTCAGAAAGTTAGGTAGACATATTGAAGATATAAAAAGACCAAAATTGAACTTTTATTTATTCATTTATTTTGGTGAGGAAGATTAGCCCTGAGCTAACATCTTCTGCCAATCCTTGTCTTTTTGCTGAGGAAGATTGGCCCTGGGCTAACATCTGTGCCCATCTTCCTCTACTTTATATGTGGGATGCCGCCACAGCATGGCTTGATGAGTGGTGTGTGGGTCTGCCCCCGGGATCCAAACCTGTCAACCCCGGGCCACTGAAGGGGAGAGCGTGAACTTGACCACTACGCCACTGGGCCAGCCCCCAAAATTGAACTTTTAAGGGTGAAGACTACAGTGTGAGATGGAGAACACACTGGATGGGATAAATGGCTGAGATTGCAGAAGACGACGCAGCAGTAGAGACTATGGGAGATGAAAGAAAGAGAGAGAGAAATTAACAACGTGAGGTGCATGAGGACAAGGGTGATTGGAATCCTGCAAGGAGAGGAGACACGGGAGTGGACAGAGAAAATACTTGAAGGAATAATGCTGAAGTTTTTCCAAATTTAATAAAAATAACCATAAACCCACTCAATGAACCCCAAACACAAGAACTATGAATAGGAATAAAACCATACCAAGGCCATAACCAAGTTGTTTAAAACCAGTGATTAGGGCCGGCCCCATGGCTTGGCAGTTAAGTGCGTGCGCTCCGCTGCTGGCGGCCCGGGTTCGGATCCCGGGCGCGCACCGATGCACCGCTTCTCTGGCCATGCTGAGGCCGCGTCCCACATACAGCAACTGGAAGGATGTGCAGCTATGACATACAACTGTCTACGGGGGCTTTGGGGGGAAAAATTTAAAAAAAAAATAAAAACCAGTGATTAAAAGAACGTCTCAAAATCAGAGAAAAAAGCATATGTTGTGTTCAGAGCAACAACCATAAGATGACAGCAGGTTTTCACCAGAAACAGTGTGACAAGGAGAGGGAAGCAGCGTCTGTGAAGTGCTGAGAGAGAGAGCTGTCAATCCAGAATTCCGTACCCAGCAAAAATATCCTTCAGAAATGAAGGTGAAATAAAGATTTTTTCCCGCAAACATTCAAGAGCTACAAGAATGTGTCATCAGCAGACTCACACGACCAGAAGTTTTAAAGTCAGTCCTGAGGCAGAAGGAAGGGATACCAGAGGGAGGTATGATCAAGAGTGAGTGGAGAGCGTCAGAAACATAAACTTCCCGGGAAGACAAATAAGATCCTCTCTCATTATCTATATCTCTCTACAGGATAATTGGCTATTTAAGCAAAAATAATAACAATGTAGCATAGGGTGTGTAACACAGATAAAAACAAAATGTACAACCGTAGCATAAAGGACTTTTTCCTAGTCTGCATGAAGTGGCATACTATACCGTAAACCCTGAAGCAACTAAAAAATTACAGAACAAAGAGGTGTACCTAGTAAGACAAGAAAGAGATGAAAGGAAATCATAGAAATTATTCACTTGTTCCACAAGAAAGCAGAACAAGAGAAAAGAGAATAAAGAACAGATGGGGTAACCAGAAAACCATGCAAGACTATGGCCTCAGACCCAGTCACACTGAAAGTTACACCCACTGGAAATGGTCTGAACACCAATCAAAAGATGGCACGGAAAAGCAAAGCCCAGACCTAGGCTGCCTGCAAGAAAGCCACTGTCAGCATAAGAGGGAATCAGCTAAAAGGGAAAGGATGGCAAGAGCTGTGCCATGCTCACACCCGTCGGGGGACGCTGGAGTGGCTCTGTTCATGTGGGATAAAGCAGACTTCAGGGAAAGAGTACCACCAGAACAAAAAATGTGTTCATAATGTAAAGGGGTCAACTGACCAAGAGGACATAATATTCTAAACATTTATGCACCTAATAACAGACTTTCAAAATACATGAAGCAAGAACTGATAACACTGCAATGGAGAAGCAGATAAATCTGCTGTCATAGACGAGGACTACGGCAGGGCTGTGTCCTGTCGCCACTTTATTCAGAATTGTGTTGGAGTTCCAGCCAATTCAATAAGGCAAGACAAAGAAATGAAAAGCATTCACTTTGGAAAAGAAGAAATAAACTGTCTTTGCAGATGACATGGTCATTTGTGTAGAAAATCCCATGCAGTCTGCAATAATAATAATGAAGCTGCTAGGACCAACAAGTGAATTTAGTAAGGCTACAGGCTACAACAACAATATGCAAAGATTAATTTTGTATTTCTATATACTAGGAGTGATCCATCAGATATTAAAATTAAAAAACCAATACCATTTATGACAGCATAAAAAAAGAAATTTGACCAAAAAGAAGTGGAAACTTGTACCCTGAGATCCACAAAACGTTGCTGAGAAAAATTAAAGATGGCCTAAATAACGGAAAGATATAGCAAGTTCATGGATCAGAAGACTTGATATTATTAAGATGTCAATTCTCTCCTAAATTATCCACAGTCCTGATCAAGATGACTGCCCTGCTTTAAGACAGTGAGTGAGCTGAGCCAGACAGAGAGAGTGCAGACAGTAGGACGCCGTTTATATAAAATCCTAGAAAGCACAGGCTCATTTGTAGAGCCACAAAATAGCCAGGTGTTTGCCTAGGAGGGGGCTAGGAGGGAGGATTGTAAAGGGAGGTGAGGGAATTGGGGGGTGCGGGCACGTCCCCTGTTTTAATCATGGCGATGGTTTTGTGGGTGTATTCGTGCGTGGGAACACCGCTGTGTGGGCGAGGCCTCCTCAGAGCTGGCTGTAATCAGAGGCTGGGCCTCGTGGGAGCGCTTGCGAGCTTCAGTGTGTCCCTGAATGGCTCAGGTGCAGAAGGCCAACACCCCGCTGATGAGGAAGCTGGCGCACCTCAAGCTCAGCCTCGCAGAGGCGTCTCTGGACTCGCTGCGGCTCGCCCAGGAGGGGGCCCTGCAGCGGCAGCTTGAGCAGGGCCCCACGGATAGGCTGCTGGCCAGCTACCTGCAGAGCACGAGCGACTACACTTCCACCGGCTGGGTGAGCGTCTTCGGAGACCGCCTGGGCCCCCATCCCATCCCCGCGGCCAGCTCGGGGCCTCTCCCATCCACGGGGGAGTCCGTCACGGTGTGCCTGACCCTGACGAGAAGGCTGACCAGTGGGAGTCAGAGGGCCCGGAGCATTCTGCCTGGGATCTCTGACCACGAGTGTTTCCCTGCTCCAGCAGCTGGCGGCATGGTGGGCTTCCAGGCCTTGCTGAGGAAAGGCCTCGTCTGGTCGCCCGAGGGGACCTAATTGGCTAGTGAACACGGGGTGGTATTGGGGGATGCCTCCCACGCACGTCAGGGCTCTCCTTCCTGAGGCACGACTGTGTCTTGACAAATTATGTTAGCATGTGAGAGCTTGAGAAAGGAGAATTACATTTTGTTAAAAAATAAGTTGAATTTGCAAAATATTTGTTTTGAAGGAAACATATTCTGCCACTTGAGACATTTTCTTAGATTTCATGAAGTATGAATCAAATTAATTTGACATAAGTATAAATGGATCAAAGATAGTCCTAAAATTTGATACAAACTCACATATTTGTCAATAAGCCCCAAATTAAGGTTATATAAGCAAACTTTAGTGACCCTCCCAACTCCTAAGCCCTGCAGACCCTCCCCGCCCATGAGGAGGCGTTTGTCAGAGTGACTGATGTAACCAGTCCTGGGGCCTTTAGGGGGTGGATCCCAGGGCCCTTAGAGTGTGGATCCTGGGGCCCTTAGAGGGCGGATCCTGGGGGGCCTTAGAGGGTGGATTCCATCCTGGGGGCTTAGAGGGTGGATCCCATCCTGGGGCCCTTAGAGGGTAGATCCCGGGGGCCTTAGAGGGTGGGCCTATTGCGTTTCCCGGGACGGGGGTGGGAGTAACGTTAACGAGGTGTGTGTTCCTGAAGCAATGGTTCACGCTGAAGCGGACCCTGGCCCATATTGCGCTGGCGCAGCTGGGGAGCCTGCCGCCGCTGTGTGTCGGCTGCGTGGAGATCCGCGCCCGGCTCCTGGGCCTGGCCGGGAAGGCTCTCCACCTGCTGGCCGTGCACACAGACCCCGTACGCCCCGCCCTCTACTGGGAGGAGAGCCTCTCGGTACGTGCTCCTGTTCTGGCTTGGTCACAGACTCGTCGCCTATGCTTAAAACAAAAACAAAATACTTACAACTCCCCTGATCTTAGTAAGAACTGGGATATAAAACAGGCCTCGAATTTTCCCCGGTCAAGAAGTTGTGGCCTGAGAAAGGGAGGAAAAGGCAACGCAGTCTGACTAGTGGGGAAGGAGAGAAACACAGGCTTCTGGGGACAGAGCTCGGGGGGAAGTTGCCCCCGTGAGGAGAGTGCAGGAGAGGAGGAGTGGGCACTTGGGGGTCCAGGGCAGGATGGGAAGCCTGCCAGGTCCCAGCCCCAAACGAGGGGTCCTGCAGATCTTGGCTCCTGGCATCTCCCCAAACCTCAGCAACTCTCCACTGGCAAGTCTGGGGTGTGTCTGAGCACTGGTGCTAAAGCTCTGTCCTGGTGGGAAGGGGGGCCACCACCCTCACTCCTCTCCACTCACCCTTACCCCCTGCACGCAGGCTAGTGAGGCCAAAAGGAGGGCTCAAGCCCCACGGCCACTTGCCCTGTTGGTGCATGCAGGCCCGAACCCTTCTCTCGAGCCCCAGCAAGGCTGCCCGGCAGGCCTGGGTGCCCTCACGGGAGCGCCCTACCCCAGGAAGGGGCTCTGGTGACAGCTGCTGCAGGTCAGGGAAGGTCCAGCTCACCATCCTAAACACCTGTGCAGATGCCACTTCCTCCTGGAGGACACCTGCCCAATGAAGCCAGGCTCATCCCCACAGACTCTGCACCTTTGGGAAGACCCCCAGCCCAGAGCAGCTAACTTCGCCCTCCAGTGTGATTTGGGGCTGGTGCCCCTGCCTCCCTGCAGGGGGCGGTGTGCAGGCCCTGGGGTCACCCTGATGGGTTATCTGTCCTGGGTCCCCAGGACCTAGGACGGGACTCGCATACGTTGGGTGGCTTGATGATTCAACCAGTACCAGGTGGCTCTGAGGTAGACTCTGAGGTGGACCAGGAAGGGGGCTGGGGTCCTCGTCTGTGAAATGGCATGAGCAATACCTGCTCAGAGGGGCCATCAGGGAAACCTGCAGTAAATCGCACGTGGCTGGGCAGGAGGCTTTCCAGAAATGCACCGCCCAGACCCTGCCCCCTTCCTCCTGCCACTCCTGCCATGACCCCACAAGCCCAGGGGCTGCCCCTCAACCCAAGTTCTCCTGGGCCGGCTGCCCCCCAGGCAGGGTCGCCTTGGCATCCCCGAGGACCCCGTCAGGGTGGCTTGTCCTGCAGACAGCCAGACGGGTCCCGTGGGGTCTTGTTTGTGCCTTTGTCCCCTCCACCCCCAGGCAGGTGGGCACCTGACTTTTTCGGTTCCTGCTGCACGGTGCTGGTTGGGGTTGCCAAGGCCCAGGAAGGTGACTTTGAAGGGCTGAAGGAAAGTGGGCACAGAATGCAACTGATCCGAGACCAGTGACAATGAGTCTCGCTCCTCTTCCCACCCTGAGACCCTGATGCACCTGCCAACCACCAGGGCCTCAGGCCGGGGCCTCACCCAGGGATCCTGCAGAGATGCCCCGACAGCCATGGGCACTCTTGGGGGGTGGGAAGTGTCCAGGCTGACAAATGCTGGCTGACTAGCAGTGCGTGTCCGTAGGCGGGTGCGGAGCTGAGCAAGGGTCTGGAGATAATCCAGGAGGATGGAGACAGCGAGGAGCACTCCAGCGACCTGCCGGCCTTCAGGGCGGCCCCAGAGGAGCACAGCAGGAAAGGCTCGGATCTGAAGGTACGCTGCTCCCGTGGCCGTGCACGTGCCCCGCCCGCGGAGCCAGCCTGAGCCTGAGCCTTGTGCCCTCAGAGGAGGATGGCGCTGGCCCGGCGGTACCTGGCCCAGGCATCCGAGGTGCTGCTGCAGTGCCTACAGGTGGCCCTGGGCAGCAGCCTCCTGGACGTCGCGGCAGCCGCCAGCCTGGAGATGGTGGAGTGCATTGGCGCTCTGGACCCGGCGGCCACCTGCCAGTTCCTGGCCTTGTCTCAGGTACAGCCCTGCTCCGCGCACCTTCCGCGAGGCCCTTCTCAGCCACCTCAGGGGAGGGGGATCCCCGAGGACCCCGCGGCTCCCTCCCGCTGGTGGCCCCCCCCCAGCTAGGCTGCAACCAGGGCCCCTGTCTTGAGGGTGGTGCTCAATTAGAGGAGAGAGCTGCAGGTCCCCGGAAGATGGTTGGGGAGGCCGTCCTGTCCCCCCGAGGTTCTGCTGAGCCCCGACTCCTCTTATCGCTGTCGTCTTGGTCCACAAGCAGCAGAAGCTCACCAAGCCTCACATTCCTGAGGCTCAGAGCGAAGAAGCATCCGCGCATCCCTCCCTGCACCCCGTGGCGGGCAGGCGCTTGGTTCACAACGTGAGGGGCTGGCGGCCAGGAGACACGGGGCGTCCCGAGGGAGCTGGTTCCAGCAGAGCCTGGGCAGCCCCAGAGCCTGTCCTCCAGGCTCCGGCACAGTCCCCCCACGGGCACCGGCCACCCTGGATGGGGCTCAGGCCCTCGGCGCCCCGCCGTCTGTTTCAGAGCTGCGCAGCCTCGGCGATGATGCGCGACGTTCTGCTCACGGCCACGGCCAACACCAGCAGCTCGCAGCTGGCGGCCCTGCTGCAGCTGGAGCACAGGCTGAGGCGCCAGGAGAGGACCTCCACCAGCCTGTTCGCCAGCGTGGAGCAGAGGCTGGCTGCCGTTTCCAAGGTAACCAAGCTGGGGACACCCTCCCAACCCGCACCTGGCCCCGCAGCTCCCAGACACGCTCCACTGTCAGTGCCCAGGTCTCAGAGATGTCTCAGGCGGTCCACGTCCTGGCCTGCCTCTCGCTAGCTGTGTGGTTCCCAGAGGGTCACTCCACCTCTCTGGGCTTCATCCTCCTGAAGGGCCTGTGGGGACAGCAGCCACCTCCTAGGTGACCATGAGGAGCGGCAAGCTCTCAACTGTAAACGCCCAGGGCCTGCAGCAGGGGACAGTGCCCCGAGGGTCTCTGTAAGGGTGGCGTGCTGCGTTTAGCCCTGACTGAGTTCAAGGAAACATTTTATACCTCAGTGAATCATGGGGTTTAATTTTGAGAAACATTTGCAGATCCTTATAGCTAATGGCACTTACTCTTTTATTTGGATTAGCAGGATGAGGTGGAGCATTTAAAGAAACAGAACTTGGGGCTGGCCCTGTGGCGTCGCGGTTAAGTGTGCACGCGCCGCTGCTGGTGGCCTGGGTTCAGATCCCGGGCGTGCACTGACACACCGCTTGTCAGGCCATGCTGTGGCGGCGTCCCATATAAAGTGGAGGAAGATGGGCATGGATGTTAGCCCACGGCCAATCTTTCTCAGGAAAAAAGAGGAGGATTGGCATGGATGTTAGCTCAGGGCTGATCTTCCTCACCAAAAAAAAAAAAAAAAAACAAGCAGAACTTGATGGAATCTAACAGATCAGGGAAAACAGACAGGAGCCGTTCCCTCCGTGTCCTTGTGTGGGTCTGACCTCACACCCTTCACCTGGGGCTGCTTTTCTTCTTGTCACGTTGGGGCCTGATGCTTCTCTGGGGGGCCATCTTGTGCACTGTGGGATGTTTAGCAGTGTCACAGCCTCCACCCACCAGATGCAGGTGGGTGCACTCCCCAGAAGTGACAACCAAAAATGTCTCCAGACGTCGCCCGTGGGAGCAGAATTGCCCCCGCTGAGAACCAAGGCTTTAACCCCAGTGACGGAAAACCTTCCCTCCCTCTGAAGAGCAGAAGCAAGACATTGGAGGTGTGGCCCCAGACTGAGCCTAGAGCAGGCCAGGCCAGCCTGGAGGAGGCGGCACAGGCTGGGCAGCTGCACTTGGAGGACATGTCCATGCATGTTCACTCCATGTGGGGGAGCACACGCCACGTGGAATAAAATGGGCAATCCCGGTCAGCGTTACTGAGTGAGGTCCGTGTGAACAGCCAGGCGGTGGAGTCCAGAAGCAGACGCCCGCCATGGCTCCCGTCCCAGCTCTTCCACAGTAGGTGGACACCTGGGCCAGCCACACGCCTCCCTCTGCCTCCGTTTCCTCCTCTGTGCCTGGGGAAGCGCAGTGCTCACCTCATAGGAAAGTTGAGGGACCAAATGCATCAGTGCACATCAAGTGCTGAAAACAAGGTCTGGATGCGACGGGGACCCGGCCGGTGGTGGAACGGAGCCCGGACGCGCCGGGGGCTTGGCCGGTGGTGGCCATCACCATCACGGCTGGTGTTCCTGCTCCTCCTACTGTTCCAAGAATCCTCTTGGAAAATCTGTGCTGACTCCCAGGTGCACAGACCAGTCACAGACTCCAGGGCCGGCTGCACTATGGGGTAGGGGAGGCCATGGGCCACAGCAAGCCCACTGCGACAGCCACAGAAACAGCCAGGTGAACGGCAGAAACTGATGTTTTTAGCGGCTTCAGCTGTGGAAGCAACGAGAACAAGCTAAGCTCAAGTTCCTGGGAGGGGAGAGCCCTCTGCGGCGAGCTGACCATCACTGTCTGCCCCCTGGGTCACTGCTGATCAGGGAGCAGATGGGACTGGACTCAACGGACAGCTCTCCGAGAAAGAGAAGCAGCAACGCCTGCAGCAGCCATGCGCACAGGGCTGACGTGCTGGGACCTGGCACGGCCTGTGTGATGACCAGCCTGGGGTTGGCGGCTGAGTCCTGGGCCTTGTGGAGTTTGCCCGAAAGCTTCTAGAAGGCAATGAAATCCATCATGCTCTCTCGGTGCCTGGGGAAAAACACCTGCCTGGGAGGAGACAGCCTCAAGAACACTGGCCTCCCGCGAGGCCTTCCTGCCTACAGCCTCTGAAATGAGGAGGGCGGCGCACAGATCCAGAGGAGAGTGAGCACAGCCCAAGGCCGAGTCCGTGCGCTGGAACACAGACCAGCAGAAGCTCCCCACCTGGGGAGGAAAGAGAACGGAAAAGACAGCACAGGGGATAGGTGCCACGTGAGAAACTCTCAAAAGGCCGGACACACATTTAACCTGAGTCTTCGAAAGGGAGGAGAGTGAAAACCTGGAGCAGAGGCCACACTGAAAAGAGGTGAAGGCTGAGCGCTTCCCCAGACTGGTGAAACCCGGCGGGTCAGGAATGCCAGCGACCTCACGCTGGAGAGACGCAAGGAGAACGGCTGCTGCACAGTCGGAGCAGAGCCGCTGGGCACCAAGGACACAGAGCAACCTGAGGGCAGCCTGTGGCGGGGCCAGAGGAGACCACTGCCTCCTGAGGAGTCCACAACAGGCAAAAAGATCCTTCAGATTCAGGGCAAAATAAAGACACTTTTAAACAAACGGAAACTGAGGGCATGTCACCAGGTAGCTTACAATAAAAGACAAACTAAAAGGGCGTCTTTTAGAGGAAAAATAAGCCCAGACAGAAACACGACAATGCCAGAGAGACTCAAGAATACTACAAAGGGCAAGTGTGTGGGTGCAAAGAAATAAATGTTGACTGTGTAAGACAGTAATTTTAACACCTTGTGGAGTTGGAGTTATATCACAGCAGTAAAATGAAAGACAGCAGTAATACCAAAGGCAGGAAGGGTTAAGTAGAATTTAAGATGCTGAGGTTCTGTCGCTACCAGGGAAGTGTAACATTCATATTTTTATTAGATAATAAGGCAGGGATGAATGTGGTAGTCTCTAGGGTGACCATAAATGATGGGTAACTAGGTTAATAAAAAAGGAACAAATAATATTTTATTAATCCCAAACGAAGGCAAAAAGAGATAAAAAGGGAATATAAAAACATATGTTTCGAGCGGAAAAAGAAGAGTACAATATTAGATATAAACCCAAATATATTTGTAATTATAGTAAATGTAAATTGACTAAACACTATAAGTCAAAGACTAAGATTATTGGATTGGATAAAAAGAAAAACAAAATCCAATTATATGCTGCTTGAAAGAGTCACACTTTACATGTTAGGACACAGAAATATGGAAAGGAAAAGATGAGAAGCAATATAGAAACCATGAAAATACTAATCAGATGAAAGTCAGATGTTATGGAAAAAAACATCACTAGAGATAAAGAGAGGCATTTCATGACGCATAGGAATGGACCAACAGAATCACAGCCCCGAATCTGTGTGCACCAGCGATAGGGCTTCACACACGGAACAGAGCTGACAGACACAAGAGGAGCCACAGACAGACCACAGTCCCAGTGGCAGGCTGTAACCACTCTCTCAGTCGCTGGGAGAATGCGTAGATGGAAAATCGGTAAGCCTGCAGGAGGTGGGAAATTCAGAAGGTCTGAACAGCCTTAGCCTAACCGGCGTTCACAGAACATGGCATTGATAATTACTGGATACACATTCTTTCCAAGTGTGCGTGGAACATTTACCAAAATTGACCGATGCTGAGCCACAAGGAAGCCTCAACAAATTCCAAAGGGTTGAAATTATTCAGAGTTTGTTTTCCAGACACAATGAAATTAAACTAGAAATCAATAACTAAAAGATGCCTGTGAAAAACACAATTGCCTTGAAATTAAACAGTATATTTATCATCATCGATTGTCAAAGAAGAAATCACAATGGAATGTAGGTGATATTTTAAATTGACTTAGAGGATGAAAAGAGTACATTTCAGAACCTGTGAGACTTCTCTAAACAGGGCCTAGAGGAAAAAGACAGCCTTGAATACAAGAAGAAAGTCTTAAAAACAGTGATTTAAGCTTTGACTTTAAGAAGCTAGAATAAAAACTCCTAAGAAAATAGAAGGGGACAAATGAGAACTGTAACAATGAAATATGAGAAATATATGGCAGAGGAAACCAACAGTGTCAGAAGTTGGTTCCAAAGAGAAGACTAAGAACATCGATAAACACTTAGACTCAATAAAGAAAAAGAGAGAGAAAACACGAAATTCCAGTATCAATAATAAAAGGACATCACAGAGATCCTTCAGACATCAAAAAGCTAATAAGGGAATATTTTTTATAACTTTACTCTAAAAATTTGACAATTGGATGAAATGACAGCTTCCTCAAAAAATACAACTCACCAAAGCTGACAGAATAGAAAAGCTGAATAATTCACTATTAAAGAACTTCATCTTTCATTAAAAACATCCCCACAAAGAAAATTCCAGACCAAACTGGCTTCTCCAGTAAATTCTTCCCAACCTTGAGGGAAGAGATAGTCCTTCAGAACTCTTCCAGAGAACAGACGTGAGAGGAACACCTCCTCAGTATTCTGTTAAGAGACCAGAACTTGACATGGGAGTCCTGGCAGGGACATTACAAGGAAGGAGACGTCTCATCAACACAGACACGAAATGTTAGAGTCCAGCGATTACTAAAGGGGTCTGCACCAGGGTCACGTGGCTGCACCCCATGTGGTTTAATATTAAAAAATCATTCAGTGTAATTCACCATATTAACAGAAGGACAAGGAGATGTAGGAAAAGCATTTATCAAAATTCAGTTCATGATTTCAAAAAATTAATATAGGAGATAATTTCCTTAATTTGATAAAGAATGTCTGTAAAACTCTGTAGCAGACTTCAGACTCAACGGTAAAATGCTGGACAATGTTCTCCAACAGAGGAAATGACGCAGAAAGCTCACTGTCACCACTCCTCCTTAGTTTAGTACATAACACTGGAAAAAGGCAGAAGATTGAAAAAGAAAACTTAAAACTGGTTATTCACAGTCAACGTGACTGTACCTGGGAAGTCATGAAGAGCCTCCAGGTTAGTGTGAGAATTAACGTGCGGAGTTGGCAGGTCCTGCTGAAGGCTCTCAGGTTGATAGACCAGCATTAGCTGTGTTTCTGCGTGCCGGTTACAAACAAATGGACCACAGAAGTGTCTCGATGATAACGTTTTCAGTAGCATCAAAAATAATCAAATACCTCGGGAAAATCTGACAAAAGACATATATGACCTCTACCCTGAAAACTGCAAACCTTCTGAAGAGAAATTCAAGGAGAGCCGCACAGAGAGGGAACCCGCCTTTGCGGGGTGGAAGGCTTCAAGTGGTTAGACGGCAGCTCCCCCCAGGCCAGACTTAAACAGATATCCTGCCATAACTTTCTAGCTCTGTTCCCCGGGGTCCTGGTCACCATTGTGTTCTGTAAAAGGGACTCATGATCAATAACGTGCCGAAAACACCTTGTCACGGAGTGTGTCTCTTGTGGGGACCCCAGGAGCCACGCCAGCTCCCGCACCTGCCCCCATGGAGCTCTTCCCTCGCACCTGATCTGTCTCCGGGGTTAGAGGATTCCCCAGGAATGGTTGGGGGACCACTGTAGGGACCGCTCCCAGAGAGGGGGGTGCCCGGCACCGCCCTGCTGGCCACTGTGGTTCCTCCCCTTATGCCCCCAGGGGCCTTGTGAGCCTAAATGCCAAGTTAAACCAGGAAGACCCCCTATGGGCCATTAATCTATAGATCCAACACAAAACAAGTCAGATTCACAGCAGGCTTATATTTTTTTAAGAACTGTTAATTCAATTCTAAAATTTTCATGGAAATGCCAACTTACTGTACAGGATGTCAGGACCCACTTAAAGGTGTAGAAGTTAAGACAGTGTGAGGTTGACATGCACATAGAGAAGACCACCAGTGAGGCAGGAGAAAAAGTCCAGGAACAGACCTGTCCTCACACACTGCCCGATGTATGTCGTGGGTGACCCTGAAGGAAGAAGGGATGTGGGGGTGTGCCTCCACCAATGGTGTGGTTCCAGGTGGGCTGCAGATCTACCTGAGGAAGGCACAGGTGTCCAGGTTTTAGAGGAAAACTTCTCCATACTTTTGGAGTAGGTAAAAATTCATTAAACAGGAGACAACTGGCACTCACCACAAAAGGGAAAAAATGTCAGATTGGCTGGCACTGAAATTAAGAACTTCTGTTCATCAAAAAGACAGCACTGGGAGTCAACAGGCAGCCACAGAGGAGACGCTCACCAAACGTACCTGACAAAGGCTCGCATCCCGTGTGCAGAGAGCACCTGTTCCCTTTCAGTAGAGACAGACACTCCAACAGAAAAATCCCAAGACTGGAGTTTCACCAAAGATACCCAAATGGCCAAGAAACCTTGTTAATGACGCCCAAGTTCACTAGTCGTCAGGGAAATGCAAACATTAACCCACATTCAGATACTACGAGACCGCACCAGAATGGCCAAAGGACACAGGTGGAGATCCCTGAGTGGCCCCGAGAAGGCCACTGGAACTCTGGCACACTGGTGGGGGCAGGGCAGGGCGGGGTGGGGGTACAACAGCCCCCTGGGAGCCACCGGGCATGTGCATGTTCTACCCAGCAGCTCCACCGGCAGCCTGTGCCCAGCAGAGACACTTCCCTGTGGTCCCCAGAGAACATGCGCTCCAGTGTCCATCACAGCAACATTCATGGTAGCCAGAAAGGGCGACTACCCAGATGCCACTGGCCGCAGAAGGATGAAGAAGTCGTGGTGCGTTCACAAGACGGAATCCTCTGCAGCGAAGAGGAGGAGGAGGCACTCTCCTCCTCCAGCCTCCACGGGCACCAGCCTGGATGGACCTTACCACCCGGTGTGGGATGAAGAAGCCAGCCTGAGCTATTGGAAGTCTGTCCTGGTTCCCTGTGGGGTCTCCTCCTCTGGGCACGTGGGTGTGGCCCGCTGTGGAAGTCCATGCAGCTTTCCATGTACAGTTACCGCTTTCTGTCTGTCGTCTCTGCTCAGACAAGCGTTCTAAGTCACCCTGGTGGGCTGAGTCTGGACACTGGCCAGCTTTTGCAAACCTGAGGAAGCTCATTTCGTCAGAACGTGGGAAGATGTGCTTCTGAGCAGTCGCAGTTCATCTAGTGGGGGCTGCCCTGCAGGGAGAGCAGGCGGCCGGAACCCTCGGGCCCTCCCACCGGCCACCTGCTGCAGAGAGTGAGGAGCCTGAACGGTACACAGAGCCTGACAGTCTTTAGAACCTGTCAGGGCACGGGCCACAGGAGAGAAGGGAGCACAGCGGGGAGCGCGCTGAGCCGCAGCCTGACCACAGCCCAGGGCAGACCGCCTGCAGGCCCAGGAAGAGAGGGGACGCGGCTGTGTGCGTCTGCGCACGTGTGCATGTGCACGTGTGCAGTGTGGAGGAGACAGGGAGGAGGATGGAGGGAGAAGACTGTTTGGAGGAGGTGCTGGAGTTTCCACTCGTTGTGTTCTTGGTGCATTTGCGCTGTGTGGGGTTTCTGACTCTGCCAGTAGAAAAGAGGAAATGTTAATGGATAGCCAGCGGATTCCGCCTGCGTCTGCTGCCCCCTTGTGGTGGCCACGAGTCCTGCAGGGGTCCCGCCCCCTACGCCCAGGGCTGCACAAAACCCTCTGCTCTGACATCTCCTGAGAAGCGATGACCGCGGTGCAGTGACCATCACTGCCTCCTACCAGCCTTTGTTGACTCGTGGTTCTCACTCACAGGCTTGGCAAAATCTCTGCGTCACTGAGCAACACTTTAACCTCTTGAACGAAATTCCTCCTGCTGTTCGGATCCTCCTTCTGCACCACTCACGAGACAGGTGAGGCCTTCTTATTCCTGCTCTCGTGCCTGTTGCCCATCCTGCTAGGAAGCCTAGCCTCACGGTGCGGACACAGCACCGGGGCTGCCGCGCCTGCGGGCATGCCGTGGGTGCGCCAGATGCCCCGGCTGGCCCGGGAAGCGTGCTGGACAGACGGGCCAGCAGGGGCTCCCAGCTGAGGTGGGGTGGGTGGGCGTCCCTCTGGGAGGGGTCTGGGGAGAACTACTGTGATGATGGCCAGGCTAGTATGCCTGGGGGCACGGTGCCACCCTGACCCCAGCACGGGCCCTGTGCGTCTGGTCTGAAGGTCCCCGCTCACGTGGGCAGAACTTCCCGCACACCTGGAGGGAGGGTGGCTGGCCCGCCTTCTGCAGCGCTGTGGTCAGTTTACGGTGGATGGCTGTGCCCAGATGGGCCTGTTTTTATTCTGTGTCTGGACTTGGCCAAGGAGCTCGAGGGGAGGGGGGTCCTGTCAGGGGTGCATGTGGCTCACAGAATTGGCGTCTTGGGACTCCTTTGGGACCCCAAGAGCTGGGCTTTGACCCCACCCTGCATCCTCCCCACAGGACCCATCTGTACGGCGCTGCCTATGAGAGACCCAAGGTCATCCCTGCAGCCAAAGGGAAGGTGCTCCAAGTGGGGGGTGAGTTCTGTCCTCGGAGCTGGGGCACCAGTGACCGAGAGAGACAAGGTCCCTCTCCAGGCGTGGCGACCCCAGCCCTCTGCCCCCACGCCATCTCCCCGAGGGGGGACTTGTCGAGCCCATGACAGATGAGGAGACAAGGCAGAGGCGTGTGTTTCCTGGGGTCGGGCAGCAGCTGCAAAGCCTGGCCCCCTGCGTCTCAGCCCCCAGCCGCCCAGCGCAGTGACACTCACACCCAGTCCAGCCGCCCTCGGTCCAGGCTGCTCTGGGAAAGCCTGTAATCCTGGGGATGAACCCATCTATCTCTCCTTCAAGTTCCTCGTCTCCAGTGCGACACTCCCACTTCCTTCCTTACGCCTGAGGCGCTTAATCCCACTCGCCATTTCATTTTAAACTACGGAAGGCTCTAGAAGCAGTCGAGACATCTGCCTGCTGTTTCCTGGCGATCCCTCAGGCTGTTTCCACGCACCCTGAGCGCGAGTCCACACTTGTGAAAGCCGTGAGCGACCACGAGCTCTGTCTCAGGGCAGGGCCCCTGGGGTCCGGGAGGACTGGCCGTGCGTCCCCCAGCTGACGCCCCTCAAAGTGTCTGCAGCGCGGCCTTGGCGCCTTTCAAACACCACGTGGTTTCTGTTTTCCCTTCCTTCCTGGCCTTTCCTGGAAGCCAGCCTCTCCCGGCCCATCCTCCTGCCCTGAGGGGGCAGCTTCCTCCCTGGTGCTGGCTGCAGGGTCCTGGTGGTGATTACATCTCGGTGACTCCACGTGGGGCTGAAGAAGAGCCTCCTGGCCACTCAGCCTTCCTCCTGGGGAAACGGACGCCAGGCAGGCGCCTGCGTGGAGAAGCCCTTTGCCCGCAATTTGTTCCTCTCGTAATTCTGAGTGTTCACGTATATTCCCACCTGCTGTCCTCTCGGCCCTGAAGGGCAGGTCTCCGAGGCCGGGTACTGGGACAGCGGCGGTGTCTGTCTCTGCAGGCTCCTGCAAGGTGGCTCGGGTGGCCGTGAGCCCGGCCACCTTCTCCTGCCTATTGGCCAGCGCCCAGCAGTTCCGGGAACAGGCCCAGGCCGAAGTGTACAGTGAGGACGTGGCCCTGAGCCCAGGCTTGGTGAGGCCCGAGCCCAGCTGCCAGGGCTGCCCCCACCCCACGGAGGGACAGAGACCCCAGCCCGGCTGTAGTGAGGCAGGGTGGGGAGGTCTGGGCCAGGACCACTGCCCAGGCGGGTGAGGGTCACTGGCCATCCAGACCCAGGCACGGCCGGACACCCAGCCTGGGGGCCAAGTCCTGTTTGAATCCTTGAGCCAAGTCTGATGCAGACGCCTCTGTGATGAGAGCAGAGGAACCCGGTGGGGCTGGGGTGCCAGGGTGGCCTCTCCGAGGAGTGGGCAGGTGAACTGGCAGGGAGCACTGTCTGCAGGGGGCCCTGGGACCCCAGTGCCCAAGACAGGCGGGCAGGTACAAGGGGCAGGCGGGCAGGAGCAAGGAGCCCTCCTGTGTTGCTGAGCTGGGCCCCTGGCCACCAGGCTGTGTCCAGAAGGGCAGGAGCTAGGCCTCTCCTGTCGGGGCCCCCACCCAGTGGGGTCTAACCTCCTCTTTGCTCCGACCATGCGGGCACTGTACGAGGTCCCTCAGACACCTGCTAATCCTGGGCTGTTGTCTGGGTTGAGACAGGAAGCAGAAAGGGAGGGGTGCCTTCTGCAGAGACTCAGTGATGTCCTGGAGACCATGGAGGAGTACCTGAGACCGCTGCTCTCACTGCTCAGCTGCCCTGAAGCCAGGTGCCTGTCGACGGGTTACTCCCTGAGGTGTTTAAGGGCCTGAGCCACTCCCTACGCTGAGGGCGGCCAGGAGGGCAAGAGGAGGCACTAGCCAGGTTGCCGGAGCCCTGGGGGGGGCGGCACAATTTGGCCTCTCCTCCGAACAGATGGGAGGTCACGGGGCCTCTCCATCACCACAAGTCCCCACAAGTGCAGGGGGCACTCAGGAATGTGATGCCCGGGGGCGAGGGCAGACGGGTGGGGGGCTCAGCCTGAAGGCCAGCTCTGACCCCAGAACTTTCTGGTGCAAGCTGAGTGACTGGATGTGGGACGGGTGGAAAGTCAGAGCTGTTTTCCTGATAGTGTCCATACGTGGAGATGCATGTCTCTGATATTATGACACTGTGTGCTCAGTGAGCTTCTCTGTGTGCCGATTCGGACTGTGTTCCACTGAAATGGGAGCCGTGCAAAGGCCCCTTCAAACCCAGGATGCCCGACTCCATCCCATCTGTCCTTGGGAAGAAGTCCTGGTTCCGCTTAAGACCTTTTCTGGGGGAGCGCCCCCTGCTCACGTCCCCTCTGCCCTCTGAGCCTCTGGCCCGGGTGTGAGTGGGAGAGGAGAGCACAGCTGAGGGTTCAGGGCCCTTAGACTTAATTTTGGTGGGAAAGAAGGCGGAGGGAACTGGCACACGGCGCTCTCTGGATTTGCAGTAGGTCGGGGACCGTCCTGAACCTGCGTGCTCACGTCTGTGCGCAGTTATCCCAGGCCCCCATCGCAGTGAGACTGGCCCTGAAAGTGAGCCATGGAGAGTGGCGGGCCTGGCCTTACAGTGAAACAGTCCAGAGACACGCTCTTCACAAATCAGTGTGTGCGATTTTCATGTATTTCTAGAACCTGAATATATGCCTTTGACTTTTAGAACACAGGTCCCCACAATCGTCGCAGATCTGGGGAAATTGAAGAGCAAAGACAAAGAAAGGAAGCCATCCCTGCCCCAGGGTGAGCAGCGCCCGAGGAGGCTGTGAAGGCCTCAGGCATCTGACCTCAGGAGCAGAGGGCTTGTTGCTGGAGAAGTTAGGCTGGGATTCTCTGCAGAGAAACAAGCTTTCTGCAATGGCCCAGCGGGCCCTGCATGGAGAGCCTCCCTCTGAGGGTCTCCCAGGGTGCTGAGCACCCACAGGTGGACGGGGAGGCCCCCAGAGGTTGTGTGCACAGCCATTGACCAGCACCCTCGGGGGGGCTTTGTGCAACCCCCGCCAACAGCACCACCTAGCCCAGCAGACCCGCCCTTCCTCAGGGGGCCGGCAGCCCCCGTGTGCGTACTAGTAGCAGTAACGACATGCGATCCTAGCACAACACCAGTTGGCATCGCCATCCGGAGTGTGCGTGTCCCGGATGACCGGAGGGCAAAGTGGGCCTTCCGGTCAGTGCTGCTGATTCCATGAATAAAAGGTGAAATGCTCCCGTTTTAGCCCAACCCTGGGAGAAGGTCGGCGTACACTGGGGACAGCCGCAGGCCTGAGCTCCCTGTGGCTTCATGGTTGTCTCTGCACCCTCAGGACAGATGCCCTTGTTTCTCACTTGATGGGCTTAAAAATGTTTGAAATGTGCTAACATCACCCAAACCCCACGACTGGAAAGGAGCCTCAAGTGTCTGCAAGGGTTTAATCTCTCCTGGAGCCTAGGAGTTTATAAATTGCTCATTTTAAAAAGGCATTTTCATTTGTCTACTTTTCTATCTCCCACAAAGGATTATTGAGCAGAAGGGAAAAGGGGCGGTTACTTTGCCAAAAAGCACTTCGATTTCTGGAAGCTCCAGGTGGCACCCTCCTCCCACAGCGCCCAAGAGGCGGATGCTCAGAGCCAGCGCGCAGAGCGCTGTCGGTGAAGGGTTTTGAAGTGTGTGCGGCTGTTGGGAAAACAAGTCATGTGTTGCCCTCCAGTTGAGAGGCCAGAGTCTGACCACCTGAGGCCACGTTTGCGAACTGAGATTCTGCAATAAAAATTCCCGAGATCAAGACAGGAAAGGCCCTTGTGTGGTGTTTAGTAAACCCGTGTTACTTTGTGAATTACAATGTCCAGTGGCCTCACCCCTCAGGACCGCTGTGCCTGTCAAAGGAGCAGGTTTCCTCTAGTGAGCCAGGCAGGACCGGTGGCTCCGAGGGCTCAGGGGTCACCTGGAGAAGCGTCCTTTAAAGGAGCTGCCACCAGCGGCCATGACCCCTCTCTGGAGTGTCCTCAGGGACTGGGGTTGGCGCAAATCCTCATCCTTTGAAAGAGGGCTCCCTGGTTAGAAGGAGCCATGGTGTTCCAGGACCTGCCTCGGGCGTTGGCTGCTGGGGGCAGGTCCTCAGAACCACAGAGGACCCAACGAGTCCAGGTCTGAGATGTGAGATGGCTGCCCCACCGAAACCAGTGTCTCTCCCCCAGATGGCCCCGGCACGTCCTGGGGCCCCGCCTCTCTGCAAGCTGTGCTCAGGTCAGATTTCTTCCCATGGCCAGCCAGACGGCCTCAGCAATGACACAGCCCCTCAGGCTCCCCGCTGTGGGTTTCTCCGTTGCAGCTGGCGCCCTCCCTCCCACAGTTCAGCCCGAGGCTGCAGACATCGTCCTCATTGTGGACAGGGATCTTCTGGAGCTGCCGCTGGAAGGTCTCTCTGTGCTCAATGAAGGGATGGTCTCCTCTGTGTCACGAGAATTTTCTCTCCAAATGCTATGCAATCGCCTCCAGGAAGAGGAGACAGGTAAGAGCTACCCTTGGCCACACTAATATTGACTTTTAGGGTGGAACTATTTAAATTACTTTTATGATAAGAGAATGTTAAGTCCTGTCAAAAAATAATTATCAAATGTTGCAACATTTTTCTAGGCACTCATTTTCAAAGGTATTTATTAGAATACCTCCTATGTGCCAAGGGTTCTGTTAGGTGCTAAACATACACTGAAGAAGAAATCAGGCATTGTTCTTGCCGTCACCAACTTCTGTTTCAGAGGAGGGGAAGGGCGGTGAACAACCATTACACAACGAGTCCTTTATGAGTGGTGAGAAGCAGTGAAGGAGAGGCCGGAGGACCTGACGTGGGCCTTAGGGGTGGGGCACGGGTACTGGGTACACAGATGTGCCCAGTTCGTGACAGTTCTCCAAGCTGCACACATGTGCTCTGTGCAGTTTTCTGCATATATGTTGCACTTCACTAAATATCAAATTAAATAAAATATAAATAGATTGGACTTGTGCTTCCATCCAAGATGAAGTAACAAGGACCAAATTTGCCCGTCCAACTGAAACAACTAAAAAACCAGAAAAAATATATGAAACAACGGTTTTCAGACTTTGGAGACCAGGCAGTGTGGGGCAGCGATCCCCGAGAGGGGAAACCAGCAGATGAGCCCAGCTTTCTGCGTGGAGAGAGTCTGCAGGCCACAGCACAGGGGAGGGAGGGACCCAGGCAGAGCCTGGCAGTCTCCCTGAGTGGAGGAGATGGAGCTGGGGACCCACGGTGGCTGGAGTTTGCAGGGCGGATACTGGGAGGAGAGAGCTGCACAGATCGCAGAGGACCCCTCAGGTCTTCAGCTGAGAACTGGCCAGTGCGGTGTGAGGGAACTGCAAGGTCAGGGAAAGAACCCCCCCAAGGGGCAGAAGATGGTCCCCAGAGCTCGTTCAGGGCTGGGAACGGCTCAGGTTTCCACTAGCCAGAATGAAAAATCTTATAATTCACAGGTGTTAGTACAGGACCAGAGGTGTTGCCTCTGCACGAGGGACACCTGCTCTAGGCCCACCTGACAGAACTTAAATCAAGCCTCAAATGGATCAAGCTATTTCCGAGTAGCTGCATCCCAAAACAAAGCTCAAGAACATGTATAGGAATAAAAAATATCCAGCACCCAACAAATGTCTGACCTGACGTTCAGTCAGAAATTACCAGGCCTGCAAAGAAGCAGGAAACTATGACCCATAGTGAAGAGCAAAGCCAATCCACAGAAACAGACCCAGAAATGATGCAGGTGCAGAATTAGTGAACAGACCATTGAAACACTTCCTATAACTATATTCCATGTGTCCATGGAGGGAGAGGAAGGACTGAGCATGTTGAGCAGAGACGTGGAAGATACAAAGACCCAAACGGAACTTTAGTGATGAAAAGACGTTGTCTGAGATGGAAGATACATGTTAGCATGAACAGCAATTAGACACGCCAGAAGAAAGATCAGTGAACCTGAAGAAATAGCCATAGGAAACGACTGAAACCAATGAACAGAGCATCAGTGAGCTGTTGGACAAGTTCAAGCAGCTGTCAACTTAAAAAGCGAATTTTCTGTTATTTTATCTCAAAATGAGTTTGTTCAGGAGTAGCCAAAAGAATTACAGTTCAGGCCGTGCATGCTATGGAGAACCATAGGCAAACCCAGAGAACAAAGAAGGGAGCTGCTTTTATAGAGAAGGAGGGGGAGAGGGCGGGGCTGTTCTAAAGGAAAGCCCACTGGGGGAGAGTGACAGTTCAGGGCGGCAACGGCTCTTCATTGGCTGAGCTACAGCGTTTCTCATTGGCTGAGCTGTGGCGTTTCTCATTGGCTGAGGTGCGGTGTTTCTGATTGGCTGAGCTGTTGCTGGGTGGGAACAGAAATCTGCCCTCCGTAGTCAGTAGTTGTACTTCCTGTCTGAGATGCTGGTGTGCTGTCTTCCTGTTTGGTGAGGTTGACCATGTGATGGGGTGAGAGCTCCCTCTGCAGGCCTTGTGACTCAGTTTAGTTCGAGCTTCTGTTATTAATTTCCATCCAGCCTAATATACTTGTAATTACAATCCTCAAGGAGGGGGGATATTTGCATTAATAAAGGCCAATTTTTTTTCCAAATTTGATGAAAACTGTAATCCCACAGATCCAAGAGTTTCAATGAACCCCAAACACAAGAAACAAAAAGAAAACTATACCAGGACACATCATAGTCAGATTGATTAAAACCAATCAATGATTTATTGGTTTATCAATGAGTGACAGCGTATTTTAAAAGCAGCCGAAGAAAAAAGACACATTGTGGATCAAGAAAGAAATACAAGAGTGACAACGGACTTCTCAACAAAAACAGTGCAAGCAGTCAGTGGACAGCATCTACATTATTAGAGAAGAAAATCTGCCAATCTAAATATTTTTGAAAATAACTTTTAAAAATACAGTAAAATAAAGACTTTGTCAGAAACAGAAAAGCTGAAAGAATTCTTCACCAGCAGGCCTGCCTGCACTACAAGAAATGCTAGAAAATGTTCTTCAGGCAGGAAAAAAACAGAAATATGCATCTTCACAAGGAAATAAACACCACCAGAAATGGGGAATATGTGGGTAAATATTTAAAACTTTTTTCTTATTTTTAAAATCTCTTTAAAAGATTTGGGCAGTTTAGAGCAAAAAAAATGGTAACAACGTGTAGTGGGGCTTTATAACATATAAATGTGAAATGTGAGGCGGGACAGGACAAGGCTGAGAGGCAGTGTCAGTGAACCTGAGGTGGGTTCGCCCACCTGTTGCGAAGCAAGCCCATCTGACGCGGGTGCAGGGGAAGAAAGTAGGAATTCTACTGCAAAGCGATATAATGCTGAGCTCCCTGAAAAGCTACCAGCAGGGGTTTTTATCTGGGGTTTTAGGTGGGGGAGGGGGAGCATGTGGCCTTGGGGCTGAAGTTCTGAGTCCTCGGCGCAGGCGCAACTGTCTTTCGTATTCCTTCCTGGCCCATGTGTGCAAATTCGGGGGAGTTCTATGTGCTGCATGCGGTGAGTTTTTAGTCTGTGACATTTGCGCGATGCTTAGTCAGGTTGTGAGCAAGCTGCTCTCTTATCAGCAGTGCTCCTGCTGTTCTGCAAGGCGAGCTCAGAAATTTTGGTTACTTTGTTTCCCATGTGAACCTCAGGTACAGGCGTGGTTTCACCCTAATCTAGGGAAATTGTAACTCCTTCGTCCTCAGTTTCACAGGACGTAAAGGATGCTGTGCTGTTGTCATTACTGTACATGATGTGTTGGGACAGTGCATGAAGGTCGGCTGTGATGAACTGAAGGTGTGATCTAATGCCACCACCAAAAACAAAACAAAGAGTTATAGCTAATACACCAAGGAAGGAGACAGAATGGGATCGTAAAAAATGCTGGTTAACGCAAGGGCCCCTGGCGTAGTGGTTAAGTGCCCACGCTCCTCTGCTGGCCGCCAGAGTTTGGATCCCCGCTGCGCACCGACGCACCGCTTATCAGGCCATGCTGTGGCGACGTCTCATATAAAGTGGAGGAAGATGGGCATGGATGTTAACACAGGGCCAGTCTTCCTCAGCAAAAAGAGGTGGATTGGCATTGAATGTTAGCTCAGGGCTGATCCTCCTCACAAAAAACAAACAAACAAACAAATGCTGATTAACCCAGAGAAGGCAGAAAAAGAGGGAAAATGGAACAAAGAACAGAGGGACAAACGGAAATCAAATGGGAAGACAGTAGATTTCAATCCAGCCACACCCTTGATCACGTTCTCTGCCAGTGGTCTCGACACCCCAGTTAGAGGGCAGAGCTCCTCCACATGAATGAGAATGCGCGATCCAAGATGCGCCTCCTCACGGAAAGCCAGGTGAAATGAAAAGACGATGAGGGGTGGAAAATGAAGGGTGGCAAACACCATGGCCCTTCTAGAAGCCTCTCGGGGCACGTGAGCCTGCTTCCCCGGGTGCGCATGGGGGTGTGGCCGCGTGGGGTCAGGGTGGCGCCTCGGGCACGAGTCCCTGCCCCTGCTGGTGAGACAGAGTCCTTCCACTTCTCATCAGCTGTTGGGAAGTCCTCCTCTGTGAAGAAGCTGTTCTCGTCTTCTGCCAGCTTATCTGTTGGGTTATCTGGATTTTGTTCTTTAGGTTTGTAGGGTTTTCTTGATGTATTGGGATGTAAATTTTCTTATCATTTCTATGAACTACAGAAAACTCCTCCACACCCTGTAGCTTGTCTTTTTATTCTCTTAAATGGTGTCTTTTGATGAAGAAAACATTTTAATATAGTCCAATGTGACAATCTTTTTTAGTAGCTGGTGCTTTGGGGGTCTTTTTTTTTTTTTGGTGAGGAAGATCAGCCCTGAGCTAACATCTGCCAATCCTCCTCTTTTTGCTGAGGAAGACTGGCCCTGGGCTAACATCCATGCCGATCTTCCTCCACTTTATATGGGACGCCGCCACAGCATGGCCTGACAAGTGGTGCGTTGGTGCACACCCGGGATCCGAACCTGTGAACCCCGGGCCACCGAAGTGGAGCACGCACACTTAACCGCTTGTGCCACCAGGCCGGCCCCTGGGTTCTTTTTTTTTTTAAGTCTTTTCTCACCTCAAGATCGTAAAGCTATTCATACAGTTTTTTTTGTTTTTTTGCCTTTCACATTTCTATCTGCCCTCCCTGTGAAGTTAATTTTTGTGTGTGGTGTGAAGTCTGAGTTTCCTCTTCCGTGTGAGTCCCAACTGTCCGCACACCATTTCTGGAAACGGCCTCCTGTCCCACTGCCCTGCATCACCAGCATTGTCGTGGTGCGGTGGGAGGGTCTAGAACGTGCGGTGGGGTCGGCAGAGTAACAGTCCCCAAAGACGACCACATCCCGATCACGGAACCTTTGAGTACGTGACCTGACATTGTAAGAGACACTGTGCACACGTGACTCAGTGATGGACCCTGAGATGGGGAGGTGGTTCTGGATTCTGCGGGTGCTGTGGTGTCATCACAAGGGTCCTCATAATGGGGAGGCAGGGGGCAGAGAGACGAACACGGGCAACGCTGCTGGCTGTGGAGATGGAGGGAGGGGCCACGGGCCCAGGAACTCGGGCGCCTCTGGAAGCTGGAACCGATCCCCCCGGGGGCCTCCGGGAGGAACCAGCCCCGCCCACACCTGGGTTTTGTCCAGGGGATCCCCTTTTGACTTCTGACCTCCAGAACCATCAGATAATAAATTTGTATTGTTTTAAGCCCGTACATTTGTTGTTATTTGTTACAGCAGCCACAAGAAACTAGACTCTCACCACAACTGAACAAGTTCTGGCAAACGTGAGTCAAGTCTTTTTAAATGTATTACAAGTGGTCACAGAAAGGATCCTGCAGCCCCCACAGTGAAGTGTTCTCAGAGCCCTGGACTGTTCACACTGGGGGGATGCTACTTGGGTGTTAAAGGTCCACGGTAAGATGACCCCCAAAGGGAGAATTGCTGTATAAATTCCAACCAGTGAAGAAGGAAAATGAATAAGAAAAACAAATGAACCCGGTGCCTCAGTCCAGTTAGAAGGCGCCGAGGATGGAGCAGCACACACGGAGCAAGACAAGACGTCAGAACAGCCGGCTGGAAATTAGTCCATGTAGATCGTTGACCAGAGAGGGGGAACAGGCCACACTGCCCCCTACGGGACAGCAGGCGGGGACGTCTGTCAGGGACTGCTGCGGAGACGCACCTGAACCAAGAGGATGCCGCCTCAGGAAGCCGCAGGCTGGAAAGAGTGGGCAGCAGAGTGAGCAGAAGGGCGGCTGTGTCCCTGTCGGCTGGAAGGACCTTGCAGCCACAGCCCTGCTGGGGACAGGCCGTCACAGCAGGACAGCGGTCACTTCATCAGGAAGGCAGAGTAGCCTCGAAACAGGTGAAGCACAAGTAACGACCCCGGCATGGCTGGTGGTCTGTCCCCGTCGGGGGAGGTTCCAGCCTCATCACTGACGGGCACGCAACCAAAGAGAGGGAAAAAGAGAGGATTGGGACAACACAACGGCAGCCTTGGTTGAAGGGGCAGAGGGAACTCCGTGTCTGGACATTAGAGACATTCTCTCAGGTACACGTGGAACAACCATGGAAATTGGCTGAGTCCACAGAATGAATGAGTTAGAAACCACCGCTATCCCTGCACACCTAGAAATTAAAAGACACACTCGTAAACGCTGCGTGGACTCAGAAGCAGCGGTCGTGGGGTGTCAAAGACTAGCAGGATGTGTCTGGGCAGCAGGGCCCAGAAGGACCTGGTAGCTCTAAGTGTTTATGTGAGGAAAGGAGAAGTGGTGTCCCTTTGTAAGCTAAGCATCGAATTTAAGAAGTTAGAGCAAGAACAGCAAAAACCCCAAAGAAAGGAGAGGAAGGCTGCAATAAACACATCAGCAGGCGTCAACAAAATAGACACAAAGACAAAAATTGGTTGTTTGAAAAAGAAGTGAGGACCTGGCGGAGAGCCTCATGTCATACTTCCAGCGCAGACAGAAAGGAAGGACGCGAGGGCAGAAAGAGAGGAAGAGACTTGGTTCCTCCCAGAACTTCCAGAAGAACCTACGAGCCCCCAGAACAGTGCAGTGTAGCAAGGGGGTTGTAAACCCTCGTGCAGGAGGCAGGGGAACTAGCAGGGCCTGGCCCTGTGGGGAGGCCGCCTGGGCAGGCACCCTGGCGGGTGCTCAACGTGCTGTGCGAATGGTCAGCCGGTGGGGCCTGGGAGCCTCTGGAGACGGTTCCTTTCTTGAGGTCTCTGGCCCACGCCTCTCCCAGCCTTGTGAGTCTTTATATTTGTGAAAGTACTGCCATTTCGACTTACAAAAATTAAAATCAATTGTTCTCACTACTTCTTGTTTTTTTATTGAGGTGAAATTCACACAATATAAAATTAACCATTTTAAAGTGAACAGTTGAGTGGCATTTAGTGCATTCACAATGTTGTGTACCACCACTTCTATCTAGTTCCAGAACATCACCACTTCTTTTTGTTGTCCTCAACAGAAGGGAACGTGAAAAAGAAGGAAGGCAGAGGCAAAGAGCTGAAGAAGAGAAGTCCAGGAAAGAAGGGCGGGAAGGTAGGCGGGACAGGGCCGCTGGCCATGGGCTGAGGGACTGGGGAGCCTAGGGTCCCACAGGTAGCTCTCGGCCTGAGGCTTGGCCCCTGCCTGGCCGGAGTGAGGCCAGCCTGCCTCCCGGGACACATCCAAGGACCCCTGTCTGTTATAGGGCAGCATGCCCCGGCTCATCCCCCCTGACTGCCTCGTAGTCGACTCAGACAACTTCACGTGTATCCTTTGATGCGCTGCCGCCGGAGACACCCGAGTTTGTGGTCCTGTTTCTCCTTAACCAAGGCCCAGTCATCGTGGACCCCTACGAGGAGGCCCAGGGCATAGGTGAGCATGTCCCAAGGGCTCCTCAACAGACACTCACATAGCACATGCACCCACACCACCCACGGCGTCAGGGCGTGGCCTCGGCTCTGCCACGGAACAACGTGGTCTGAGTGCTGTGGCCTCAGCCTCTGCCCTGCCCTGGTCTCTGCTCCCACGTCCTGTGCTCGGCCTCTGCCCTCAGCTGCCTCCTGTTACAAAGGCCACAGGGGGGTTGGGGTCACGCTGCCCGGGATGCACATGTGCTTTGAGGCCCTCCTCTCACGACCACAGCCAAGTCAGGATGACCGTGGTGTGAGGAACAAACCTGAAGTGGCTCCTGGCACCCCTGCTTGGGCACAGCGGGAATGGCTGCCGCCCAGCGGCTCTGAGGGTTTAATTCCTTGGGTTTTCCATTTGCTGAATTGATTTCTAAAATCTCTCCATGAGGAGGGGAGGAGCACTCACATTTCCACAAGCAGTAAATGTGGACTCCGCCGGGCCCTGTGCCCTGCGAGAGGTCCAGGTCCAGGTCCAGGTCCAGGTCCAGGTGCCACCCAAGGGCACCAGGGCACAGGCCCCGCCCGCAGCCCCTCAGCGCTCCACATGTGGGACAGAGCGCCTGGGTTTTGTCGACATTCAGTTCTCATCGCAGGAACGCTGACTCCTGTCTCCGTAACCCGGGAAATTTTGGAAAGATACCGAGACACATTCACTGCGAAATGGAAGGGACACCTGGGAAACACACACTTCCCAAGGTGCGTGTTTGGGTTCTCAGGATGCTGAGCCGCGGTGGGCAGTTTCAGGGAGCCAGCTGGAGGGGTGCCCACACCCGGGGGGCTGTTGTCCTCAGTCCCACTCCTCTCCTTCCCGCTCTCTCCCCTCTCGCTCCCACAGGCCCCCTCCTGCCCTGACCCCCGCATGCTGTCCTGTCCCTCCTCCCTGGCACAGAGGCTCCTGGTGTCCAGCTTTTCTTCATCACACACTGGGCTCCTTGGTCCTTGCAGTGCCTGGAGGAGGGTGTCATTGTCCTCATCCGTACTTTCAGATGAGAACCTGGGCACCCAGGAGCATGCCCCCGCATGAGGTCCCGGCCAGCCCAGCGCAGGGTCTGCGCCCCTGACCACCAGCGACGGGCCTCTGGGGGCAGGAAGAGCCTCCTGTGGGTGCCCTCGGGGACCTGAGTGTGCTTGGCCATCAGGGAAGTGCCCTTCTAGCACTTTCCAGAGCCCCTGCCCAGTGAGACGGAGGTTCATTCCAGGGACACGAGGTCCACTCTCAGGAGAGCCACCTGGAGCAGCCGTCCAGGGCCCCCGAGCGTCAGCGCAGGACGGAGGACTGAGGACACGGGGAGAGCAGTGCTAGTTCTGCCTCAGCACAGGCGTGGGTGGGGGAGTGAGGACCACACAGGACGGCCTCTGGGAGGGTGTCGCCTGCAGCCGCAGCCCAGAGGGCCTCAGGACAGAGTGGTCCCTGCTGCAGCATTGTGGGCATCTGCCTGTCCACACACCGTCTCCCCTTCCCTCTGCAGCCAGGCCGAGTGGGAGCAGCTCCTGGGCGGCTGCAGCGGTTTCTTCTTCTACGGGATGGAGCACGTCCTGTCGCACGTGTTAGTGGAAAGGCTGGCCGCCATGAACCTAGAAGGTGAGGCGGGGCCGGGAAAGCCCGACTCTTTGCCAGGACCTGTGGGCCCAAGATGAATCCACAGGGGGACAGAGCGGGGCCCGCATCTTCGTCACACAGCATCTGCCTGATAAAGGGTTCAGAGGGCGGGCCACCTTAGGAAGAAACGCCTCCTGCCTCAGTGCCCCTCTGTCTCTCAGAGACCCCAGTTCAGATTTCCAGGCCAGGCAGGCATGGCCAGCGTCAGGAGTCGGGGGGTCGTGCCTCCTTGCTGTGCCTGCAGGCTCTGGGAAGGCTGGGGATGCATTTCCAGAAGGCGCTGATCACAACCCCTCTTATCAGTCCTTCTGGTCTAAGGGGGCTGCGCTGGGCCTGGTTTCCCTCTCGCTGAGAGTAGAGGAGACCACCAGGTGCCCCCCCGCCCGAGGACACCATCTGGCCTGCCCTGGGTTGACCTCCTCCTGGGCGGCTGGCTGCTCTGCACAGTCGCCAGGGGGCCCTGCCAGGGGACCCGTCAAAGATGCCCGCACCCCGTACGCAGGTCACTCGGCGGGTTCCTTACCCGGGGTGGGGGGTGCACAGGGTTTCTTGGACACTTTCACTCCAAGCCGTCTCAGATGAGAGGGCAAGTGGAAGAAATCCGTGAGCTCCCCAGGCAGCACGTGGGGGCGACAGCATCGCCTGGGGGCCCCCGCTCCTCCCACCAAGGCCTGTCCTCGTACAGCTGCCGGTTCTGCCTGCCTGGGGGACACCCCAAAGCCTGCCCTCAGGCAGGCCACCGCCGGGAAGTGGGGCAGCGGTTCTGCATCCCGGGGGCTCGCTGCACGCCCACACCCAAGTATTGCGTTGTGGACCCTGGCACCTATGTCCCTGGGCCCCGGGGCTGGGTGTGCCTGGGCCTGCCCCACAGCTGGGCCCTCGTCCGTGTGGAATGCTGGGAGCTGAGACCCCTCTGCGGGCAGGGAGAGCTGTGGCAGGCCCAGAGTGGGCTTCCCAGCCCCTCCCGGTTGCCCGACGCAGTCACACAGGGAGGCTGTGAAAGGTCCACAGCTCCTGAAGCCAATAATGTCCCCGTGTACCCCTACGGCCAGCGGGTCCCCGGAAAAGGGCCTGTGGACATCAAGTCTGAGCCTCGGGCAGATTGCGCTGGGTTTCCGTGATCCGCCTGCACCCTGAGTGACACCGCCAGCCTGCCTGGCCTCCCTACCCCTGGCGCACAGCCGCTGAGCCACCCCTCCTGTGTCCTGCAGAGTGCCAGATGATGGTCCTGCTGGACCTGACTCGGTCCTACGAGAGCATGCGGCGGCAGACGGAGGTCTCGGAGAACAAGAGGTGCCTGATGTCCCCTCTGCACTGGCTTGAGCCGCAGCCTGGCCTCTGGGCAGCTGATTCAGATAGCCTGGGGGTGGATGAGCAATGGATGTGCCCCCTGGGGAGTGTGGGGGTAGGGTGTTCCTGAACCCCATGGGCAGAGCCCCACAGGGAGCAGGACTCCATGACCTGCCCCAAACTCTTCCCTGGCAAACTCCCGGGGGGAGGGGGGAGGGAAGGAGGGGAACAGCTCCAGCAGCAGACCCCAGGCCGAGCTGGACCTGAGGCCTTCTGGGATTGGGCCAGGAGAAGCAGGACCGGCAGCCAGGGGGGTGTGCTGGCTTCAGACCCCATCACACGCACCCCAGGCCTCTGTGGGCTGCCAGTCGGCAGAGGGGGGCTCCCTCCCATGCTGGAGGCCTCCCTTCCCGGCTCCACCCCGTGGCTGGGAGCGGTCCAGAGGGACATGGCAGCACTCTGGAATGCCTGTCCTTGTTAGGTGGCATTCAGCTTTGGGGTGTGTGGGAATTCTTGATTCTTTCACGAATTCCAGGAGATTTCAGTGCAAGTGCACATTCCAATACTTGGTGCCATTGGGCTGTGGACGGGGAGGGGAGGGCTCGCCCCTTGGCACTGGCCCAGGGAGCCGGGTCCCCTGCAGTGCCCTCCAGCTGTCCTTGGAGGAGCCCATCAAGACCGCCATCCTTCTGAGTCTGGTGGGGGTCAGGAGCATCCTGGCGAACCAGTGGCCGACGCTCTTGCAGGACAACGCGCTTCGGGCCAGCGTCTTGTGGGAAAGTGAGTGGGCGTGGGCACCTCGGGCCTATCCCGCAGCCCTTCACGCCTCCCCGGAAGCCTCCCGGGGTGTCTGAGGGGATGTTTCTTCCCTAGATCTGTTGACAGTTGGCAGGCCGGTCGGGAGAGCCGTCCGTCTCCTGCAGACGATGGGAGCCAGTGAAATGGTTCACCACGGTAATGAAACTGCCCCACCTCGCAGGGTCAGGGTATCCCCACTTCCCCTGTTTCTGCATAGCCTCCAGAGGTTAGCACACGCTTCCTACACGTAAGGGCCTGCAGGGAGAGCTGCCGTCAGAGATGCTGGGGGGACAGCGGTCATCAGAACTGCTCATTAGTTTTTACAACAGCTCAAATCACACAAATTCTAAAAGCCCAGGGACAGCCTCTGGGAGCAGAGAAGCCACCAGCTCATCCTTCAGAGCAAGTGGGACCCTGATGTCCACACGTGGTAACAGCTTCACATACAGATACCGGTGTAAAAACAACTTAAATACAACCCTGGTTATAGATTTAAAATTAAAGGAATAACCTGCCATAACTAAGAAAGATTTATCCCAGGATGATTCAAAATCGCAAAATCTCCAAAATACACCACACAAAGGGAGCTTAACATTTAAAAATCGCATGGTCCACAGTGCCCAGGATGTAGTTGCCAAACAGTAACTGCTTGTTAAATCAATGAGTGAGTGAATGAATGAGTGCGTGAGTGAATGAGTGAATGCATGAGTGCATGAGTGAGTGAATGAATGAGCAAATGAATGAGTGAGTGAGTGAGTGCGTGACTGAGTGAACGAGTGAGTGAGTGAGCCAGCGGGTGTCGGCAGGAGGAGGAGGTAGGTGGGATTCCAGGCCCATTCCAATAGAAATAATAAACGGGCTGGAGCGAGAAGCCGCCGGGCTCTGCTGGCGTGAGGAGCCCAGCACACCCCTTTTCCGTCAGGTAGACAAGGGGTGGACCACAGCCCCCACGCCTCTGTTGTTGGTGTTGTGTCCGTGGGAAGGGAAGGGAGGAAACCCTGCTCCCGTGCAGGCCCTCCCTGCAGTCAGTGGTGGCAGCTGGCTGGTGGCAGAGGCAGCCAGAGCTGGTGGGATCTTCCGGATTCTTAGTGCTCAGTGCCAAGCTGTGGTGTGGAGGGGAGAGTGGGCCTTGGGGTCAGGCGAGTTCGGTCCTGGTGCAGTCACTCCCTGGCTGTGTGCTGGCCCCCTCCAGCCTCAGTGTCCTCGTCTGTAAAGGGCGTGTAGCAGCGTCCACCCGCCAGGCTGCGTCCGGAGGCAGAGTCAGGAGCGCCTCCTCCCCCCGCTTCTCTCCCCACCCTGTGTGGACGCCCTGCCCCAGTGAGCCTGGCGTCTCACAGCCCCCACTGGCTCTCCCCTCAGACGAGTCTCCGCGGACCTCCAAGGACAAGCTGATGTGCCTCCAGCCACAGCCCCGCTCTGAGCGTCTCCCTGTCACCCTCAACCTGGTCCTCTACGGGCTGCCGCACCTGGCCATCGGCTGATGGTGGCCTGGGCCCGCCTCCCCACAGCCCTGCTCCCACTTCACCGCCCTGGACCCACCGCGTCCCCACCTACGGGCGTTCCTCCCCGTTCCTCCTCAGGATCTCCAGCCCTGGCCGCAGCCCGACCCCTCCTCCAGGGCCTCCTGCTGGGCTGCACTGCCCAGGCCAACCCCCCCACCAAGTTCCGCACAGGGCGGCACCTGCCTCCATGTCCTCCCGGGGGTCTGGCCTGCTCTGTGGCTCCCTCCTCAAGATCTCCTCCCACCCAGTGCCCACAGGGCCCTCAAGGAGGGGGAGAATATCTCTGGGGGCTCGATGGGGCAGGTGGGGGTGAGGAATGCATCCGGGGCCAACCCCACAGCGGCCGAGACCACCAGAACCCTCCCCTGCTCTGTGTGCTCCCTGTGGTCTTAGTCATCGGGAAGCCGCGTCCATCCCACAAGGCTTCAGCAGCAGGTGGGCCTCTGGAGACAGTTCTGGCTGACAGCAAACACTTTTCCCTGAGGATGAGACTCCTGATCCCCGAGGGGACGGCCCGCTCAGAGTGAGTGCGTCCACTCCCTCCCGCCCTGGTTCCTGTCAAGAAACAGTGTAAGGACGTAAACTCGGTTTCAGTCTAGGTGCTTCAGTAAACAGCTGAATTGAGCCTCTGCGGTGTGGTGTCAAGCCCCAGGCGCTTGGTGTGGAAGTGGGACGACTCTGGCTCCTGCCCGCTCCTCCTGCTGGGACTCCTCTACCTTCTTACACTTGCACAAAGGAGGACGCCAGAAATGAGCCCTAGCCCACCCCGGGGGCTTTCCACTGCAGGAGCAGAGTGCCCAGGGAAGGGACATGTCCTCCCACTTGATCTTTCTGAACACGCTGCTCCCACCGGCTTCCTGCAGAGGCACGTGGTCTGTTGTAGGCTGGTCCCTGAGGGGCTGCATGGCCCTGTCCCCAGCCTGGGACCTTCCCCACATCCACATGGGGCTGTAGCCAATGAGTTGGGAGGGAGGGACAGGCCGAGCCAAGCCCTAAGCGCCACTGGGTGTCAGCGGGTCCTGTGCCTTCCCGCCACCACGGGGTCAGGGTGGGGCTGTGTCTTCAGTCTGGGACCTGACACACCACGACACGTGGAGCAGAGCTGCCATGGTGTGACCTGAGCCTTGGCAGGCTGGTTCCACGGTGCAGCCTGGCGGGTCTGCCCACTGTGCTCTGCAGGAGGAGGGACTCTCCAGGCTCTGTCCCCATGTCCCTCAGTGTCAGAAGAGAGGCCAACAGGGGGACATGACACGATAGAGGGAGGGATTGCGCTCCTCCCACCTGGAAGGCCCTGCCACACTCTGGGCTGTGAAGCCCCCACACCCAGGGCAGTGCTCACTCCTCTGACCCCCTTGCTGATCCCTCTGACCCTGGGCACGTTTGTCCCACTGTGGGGACCATGTGTCAATGGGGCCCAGCAGGAAATGATGGGGAAATCCACTCCCTCCAAACACCTCTTGGCTGAGTGGCCGGCCCTGGACGTGCTGGACCTGGCGTCCCTGGCCCCCTGGCAGGTCCTGGGGCACTGAAGGGGCCCATGGTGGTAGAGGGGCCTTACAGGGGGGAGGGGCCTGTGCTGCTGCTCCGCAGGCAGACCCACCTTCTGCAGGGCTGTGGGAGTCTGGTGGCATTGGGCTGTGGATATTCTAGAAAACACCCCACTCACCCCTCCCTGGGGGGGTGCAGGCTGGCCCGGGAGGACACTGGGAGCCTTGGGGTGACAGATCAGTCCTGCACCTTGATTGTGGCAGCGACAGCAATCTATACATTGGGTAGCATGTCACAGAGCTGCACACATATGCGCACACACGCACACGGGGATGCCTGTAAGAGGTGGTGTGAAGGAAACACTGTCTGCAGCGCATGCCAGGGCCGCACCAGCGTCAGCGCCTGGTGGCTGTTTCCAACGTCACCACGGGGAGCTGCGTGCGGGGAGGGCACACAGCCTGTACTGTCTCTGCAACTCCCTGTGAATCTATAATTAATTCAACAGAAAAGGTAAAGAAAAAGCTCATCTTTGGTAATCTTGAAAGGCAGTGAGTCCCCCTCTTTTTTGTTTGATTTCTCCTTTTTTCAAATATATACACGTTCCAGTTTAAAAAAAAAAGCTAACTAATGACCAAGGAATAAATTCAAATCAGAGCAGCGCTGGAAATATGAGCTTTCTTCTAGAAAGATGTTGGCACCCACCCAAACAACAAGAATAAAAGCTTCTGGAAATATTTCATCTGTGCAGCACATCTGTTACCTTACACTGTGTCGACTCACGTGAGAAATATTAAACAGGGAGCCTGGTCCATGTATCAAAGGCTCTAAAATAACTTTCTGAGTTATGTCCCAGCAACATAACAAATCACATTATCAATTAGCTTCTAGAACAGAAGTGGCATTCTGTAATATATTCAAGCATGAAAAAATTGCATGGGTGAAATTTATGTAACCCTAAAAACTATAAGGAGAAAAGAGATCACTTGGAATTTATTGGCAATAATAGGAGACAGAATGTAATTCTAGGGGTGGACAGCCCATCCAGGGGGTGACCAGATGGCAAGTTCAGGAAGGACGCAGGTCGGTGACGGGGGGCACCCTGGCACCAGGGCTGGGAGGCTCCAGGAGATGACTGCAACTGCCCACATCAGCCCCCGACTTCCTGGATACCAGGGGACCTCGTGTTCGGGGTGGGGAAGGGAGACTCTGGCCCCCTGATCTGGTCCAAGCTGAGCTCTGGACGGACTCCATGACCTTGAGCTGGTCACTCGGGCCCTGTCCTCTCCCCTGGAGAATGCGGCACCCGGCCTTGGGCAGCCCCGAGAGGGCCTGACCCGCCCCCGCTCCAAGACCCGCACTGTTAGGGGAGGCGGCGGCCTTAGCCCACAGTCCTGTGTCCGCACGGCGTCCAGGCCCCTCCGTCCCAGGCCGGCAGTGACCAGGCTGCTCACCTGCAGCGACCTGCAGACCAACACGTTCTGCTCCTTCTCCTCAGTCACATTTTAAAAGTGCGGCTTGTTTTCTTAATTTATGTCTTGAAATAGTGATTTCCACATTTTTTAAATAAGGAGGTTTTTCTAAACAATATGTTTTATTATAGGAAATTTGGAAAATTAAAAAATTGAAGGAAAAAAAGCACTCACAGTCCCACCAAAGGTGTATGTTTTGATGAGTTTCTGGTGGTTCTCTACCTTGTTCCTGCGCTGAGAGCTCCTGCTGTGCGATCAAGTCTCCGTGTGTTTCCACTTAACGTGGTGAAGGATTTCCCTTTTCAAGAGTTTTGAATCAGAATCCTTGTTGAAAGCGTCCCTACCCTCAGACAGGCTGCTTGCCAACATGGAAGACCCAATACCCCAGGACTAAGGGTTCCCCGGGCATGGAGGGGGTCCTTCTCGGCTGGGTCGAGGCTGTCCAGGGGTCCCCTCATCATGGGGCGGGGACCAGGATGAGAGTGCTTGGGGCCCTGGGCACACCCGTGCCCCTGCCGCCCGGCCCAGGTAATGTGGGCTCTGGAACCAGGCCAGCCAGGGTCAGGGCCCCACTCTGCCCGGTACCCACGCAGGGTCACAGCCAGGTGACCTGTGAGGTGGGTCACCCTAGCTCTGGACTCCGTGCCAACAATTAACGTTCATTCCTCATTTCATCCCCATAGAATAGCATCACCCGGGCACACACCAAGGTCACCCTCCACACAGTAGCCATCTCGCACTTGCCCTCCCCAGCCCCAGCTGCCCGCAGCGTGGGAGACCCTGGCTTCCGTCCACCCTGGCCTGTGGCTCCCACCTCCCGTCATGGGCACTCTGGGCTCCTGGATCCCACCCGGGGTTCCAAGCGGATGGTCCCCTGCTCATCTGGGAGGCCAATAGCTGCCCCTCACCTGCTCCTCCCGGGAAGCAAGTCTGGTTCCCGGGCTCCCTGTCCACCTGGGGCCTCGGGCGCCTGGGCCTGCCCTCCTCGCCAAGCAGTTAATTCACAATCACAGTGAAAACAGGCTGATTTGGATTAAGAAATTAGGTGGGTTAATAAAATTAAAATGTTCACAGACGCTTGTATATAAATTTCTATTAAGTTCCCTCATCCAACACTGGTGTCTAATAGTTTAATTTCTGTGTTAAATAATTAAAACTCTATTTTCAATTGCTGTGAACAATTGTTTTCCTTAATGATCTTCCTGGAGGAGCCAGTAATTTTATATCTTGTAAAAATGATTAACTGGCATCATTATCCCATATCTCTGAAATATAACCCAGCGACTTAAAGAAAGGCCATTTGTATTCAATTAATGCTCCCTTGCATTAAGACATACAATATTACTTCACGCCAGGCATAACCCTGCTGTCCTCTCATTTTATTATGACGGTGATGAAGATAGAAACAACCAGTTTAATTATCCTATTTCCAACAGAGAAATCAATTTTCAATACGTCTTCACCCTTAAAAAGAAGAAGAAGGCAGCGGTGAGGTTCCTGGGAAGGGCAGGCCGGGCGACACATTGGCAACAGCGGCTGCTGCAAACTCCCTCCTGGCCTCGGGGCCCCAGGGGCTGGACCGGCAGGGACTGGCCCCGGGGCTGGCTCAGCCGCCCTTCTCCTTGGCCTCCTCCCCTGTGACCTCTTCCCGTGTGACCGCTGGGCTGGCCTGGAGGGTCTCCGCCTGGACCCTGGGACGGCTTCTCCGTGTGCCAGCACTTCTGCGTAGTCATTTCCGTGGGGAAGTGACCTGTGGGGATCTGCAGACTCTCAGAGGGGTCTTGGCCCCCGGGGCTGCCTGCTCCCCACCGCAGCATCATTCTGGTCCCCACAGACCACCCCCACCACCCAGGCCCCCCAGCAGCGGGGTTCCCTCGGGATGGCCCTGCTCACTGGACCCACACTGACCTCTGGACAGCCCTATAACACACCCTCATGCTTCTCAGATCCAGGGCCCCTATAAAAGCAGAGGGGGATGGTGGGGATTTATGGCAGGGGGCAGCCGGCTTCCTCTGTCAGGGTGATTCAAGGGACGCGCCCTGCCTCGCCACTCAATCACACCGGCGCTGTTGGCCAATATAATCTAATTGTTTGACATTTTTATCACGATTCATTGAGACTAGAGGGAGACTACTAGATTAATACCCCGATGCAGTTGGCAAATGGCCGGGATGGAGCTGATGGGCCAAATTATAGGGGAGCTCTTAAATTTTCTTATTATAGATTTTAATTCTTTGTGACAAGAGGCGAGAGACAGGCGGGCGTCCTCTGCCCAGAGCCCTGAGATCAGGGCCCCCACACCCTCCCGTTTTCCTGGGCACCCTCTCCAAGCTGGATCTGGGCTGGGGGCACAGAGGGACTGGGGTGCTCGAACAGCCGGACGGAGACAAGAGACCGTCCTGCCCAAACCTGGGAGCCCAGGAAACATCCTCTTTGAAGCTTCTCTTGGGCTTAGAACTACCCCCCAGAGAAGCCGCAGCTGTCCCAGGGCAAAGCCAGCCGGTGCTGCCCCTGATCTGGGCAGTGGACGCAGGTGGGCGCAGGTGTGCCCAAGGCTGCCGTGGGGGGTC